ATGAAATTGAATCAAATTAATTGTTTTATTTTTTTTAATTATTTCAATTTAATATTTTAAATAATATAATAATATAGTTTAATTTTAAATAATATAATAATATAGTTTAATTTTAAATAATAATAATTAATTAATATAATAATATCATATTAATAATTAATATAATAATATAGTAATAATAGTTTAATTTTGATTATATAATAAATAATATAATAACTAATAATATAGTAATAATAGTTTAATTTTGATTATATAATAAATAATATAATAATAAAACATAATATTAAATACATATAATAATAATTTACTATTTATTTTAATTATATAAATTATATCATATACTATATAAAATATTTATCTATAGTTATAGTATATATATAACTAGAGGAATATAAATGAACTTAAGTCTATAATATATATAGGTTATGGCATATAAAATTTATATGATGTGATTCAGTTTGTATCTCTAGTTATAATATATAACTATAATTACAATATGCAACTATATATTTTACTACTACAATCACGTCTTGCTACTATAGTTACATCTTACTACTACAGTTACGTCTTACTACTATAGTCACGTCTTACTACTATAGTCACGTCTTACTACCATAGTCACGTCTTATGACAATCTTTTAAAAAATAAAAAAGATACGTCATATTTACGTCTATGCCATGACTTGGAGGGGTGTCATGACCTCATTATAAGTCTGCCACCTCTACTACACAATAAAATTTTCTAAATTATAAGTGAATCTCAAAAACGGTACTAAGTAACCTCAAAGACAATATCTAATTGCATATTATATTAAAAGAACAGACATATCATCAAAATTGAGCGAATGATTGTCGTTTTAAAACTTTTCACCCGTTCGAACTCTAACCGCTAATCGTTCTCTTGATTTTGATGATATAGGTCTGAACGTTTTATGGAAGATGTACATTGTTACCACTTTGAGATATTTTAATATTTACTTATAAATAAAAAGTTTTATATGTAGTAACTATAGATAATTATTTTCGATTTTTCAGGTTTTCTAATCTAATCCTATCAGTTTTCCATCAACCCATCAGTTCCATCAATCCCATCAACTTTGATTTTGAAGCTGATGGGGTTGATGGGGTCAACTTGAACTTATCAATACCATCCACCCCATTAACCCCATTCGACCCCATCGACTTAGATGGCTTGGATTGACTTGTACCTTCAAGTTGATTAAGTTCGGTTCAGCTTGACTTGTCAGCGGTTTGGCTTGACTTTGGTCTCATGTCAGACCAAGCCGGACCGTTAGCAACACTATATATGGTACGGCCACTATTTGTATGATGAATTCGCGTACATCAAGCTTCCCAACAGTTTTTGATGATATGGAACAATTTGCAACTGACATGACAATTTTCGGGTAGGATACTGATAATATTTGTTTGTTATTGCAGAAAGATGTCTTAAAGACAATTAAGTCAGTAAAAAAATCAACTGGAGATAAGAATGTATATAAATCTGAAGTCAAACCTACACCAGAAGGTATGAAGAAAAATAAGAATAATCAAATCGGTAATCAAAGTGATTTAGCTTGCTCATCGGTCAAGAATTCTGCTTCACAACAGCAGGATATGTGACTTGTACTATAACTATGTTTAAAGAGTAATATATAATTGAAATAAATTACTTTGTGATATAAATACACCTAATAAAATTTGATGACTCTACATAGCGTGACTCACATGATCATAAACTATAAGCATTTGTAGTTTTAACTCTAGGGAGACATGTTTTCAAAATAAAATAATGTATATATGCAACAAATTTTTTGTACCATTTTGTCTCGGTTTCAAAAGTTTAGTTTTTATTAAAAATAATTTTATTAATTGTTAGGTCAAGACATGCTTATTAATTGTTGTTGTTCTATTGGTATCACTATTTGTGGTGGTTCACTATATACTCTGGGTAGTTCTTTATATTCTCTGGGTAATTCTTTATATTCCCTGGGTAGTTCTTTATATTCTCTGGATTGTTCATTATATTTATTGTAATTACTTCCACTATAATCACGATTGTAACTATAATCCCGATCAAGATCTTTATTGTAATCATGATCATAATCTCGGCTTTGTCCTTTTGTACTAATTTGTTTAATCTAAGAAAAAATTCATAAACTATTAGATAAATGTATTCACAAAAAAAAAAAAAATAATAATTAAAAAATAATTACTTTTAATGAATCTTTCATGAATTCATAAGGTATTGCCCCCAATGTACCATCATATCTAATTCAAATAAGTTTTATTAATTAATATTTTTTTTCTCAAATCATACATATTATTATCATTATTTATATTAACCTGTTTTTCTTAATGTGCAAGTATCGTGCCTCGCCATCATCACCCTCTACCTTTTGAATTATAACGACATTGTCCGCTTCTTGTGTAATCTTTCCGGTTCCAAAAACAGAGTTAATATCTAATAATTCTCTACTTTCTTTTCTTGGATGAACCACTACTGATATATGAACATGTTTTTCGGTGGCCAACTTGCGAAAAGCAGATACCACACGATCCTGTATTTCAAATTTATCTAAATGATGTCTCCCTAGATCTGATGTCATAAATTGTAAATTATCTATTATTATATGTTGAACATCGAACGCATGGATCGCGTGTTCCATAGCTTCAATCACACCTTTAATTTCGGTACTACCAAAAAATTTTAAAAAATACATTGGTAGCTTGATTTAAGGTAAATAACATTGAAGTTAATTAATTTAATTAAAGAGTTTTCAAGTTTATTTTAATAAACGATTGATTACTAAATTACCTGTTGAAATTGTTTTGCCCAAATATGAAACTCGTTTGGATGTTTAGATAAATCTTTTCCTGCAAATTGAGTCAACATTTTTTTGGCTAAACGTACATTTGATATTTCAAAGCTTCCCCATAGTGTGCTTACACCTGATTTACAATAATCTAATGATATTTGACTTAGTATGGTCGTCTTCCCAGTTCCAGTAGGACCTGTAAATACTGTTAATTCACCTAATCTATGCCCTTTCATAATTTTATTTAAACCCGGCAACTCACGAGATAAAACTCCACGGACTTGATTTGGATTGGTAATTTCCCGATATACTGCATCTTTCAAACCATCAAAATTAAGAATTTGTTCATGTTGTAATGGTTTTGCTAACTCAAGAAGTTCATTCAAATCTCTTCCTTGTTTTAAGGCTTCATATGCATTGATCGGTCCATTATAGGAATTGCACTTGGTGTTGACAATTACACAACGATCAATTCCCAACTTTTGCACAAATTTTTCTGCACAATCTTGACCGTTCACATCATCATCTAACCAAACATATATTTTAGAAAATCTCTCTAATAAAGGGAGAACTTGAGAGTGTAATTGATTTACTTGAGTGGGAAGGCAAACAGCTGGTATTTTTGTTTCTTGATAAGCTGCCATCGCATCATATTCATTTCTTGTAATTATGATGGCATTATCTTCCAATTTAGCTAGATGATACCCGAATAGTCCAGGAACAAATTCAGCCGGATCATAGGTAACTAGTTCCGGACTATCCAAAGGATTAGCTTTGCAAGCTTTAATTCGCGTTATCTTTGAGCTCAATGTATCGCATGGTTCATTGCTAAATTTCGGTGCCATTCGCGGAAATGTTATGCACTTTATTAATTGGGAAGGGGTTTCTGGGTTTGGAATATCACTTTCAAATTCGCCAATTCCTACTTGATACTCAACAAGTGTATCTTTCATTATACCATGCTTATTTACAAACTCACCAATAATTTCTTGATCATTATGTAGATTGTTTGGAAAATTTTCTATTTCTTCTTCTGATTTAGAAAATTCACTTTCAACTTTAAACCCTAATTGTGAAGTATCCAAAATTTGAAATTCGCTAGTTTTGGTTATCGAATGTACGTAGTCACACCATAAACCTTGATGCATACAATTCGTACACTTATATGTACCAAAGTGAATGTCTATTTTGAGTGTATAATTTATCTTTTTTGGACGACACTTTGGACATTTGACGAGCAAAATATCTTTTGATTCAGTTGGTTTTGGGAATTTATAGTTTCTATTAAGAAATTCCAATACTTCCCCAGGTTTTGGCCGATAATGCTTTGATATAAACCCTAAATCCTCGTGAAGACATCTAAAACTTGTTGAACTTGTTTGGATTTTGAGTTGAGATCTTTTATTATTACGAAATAAATGAAATTTTCTTTGAATATTTATACCATAGGTGCTTTTACTAAAAGTTAGGTTACTAAATATTTGCGTAAAATGACGCGACATTTTAATAACAGATAAAGTGTGGTAAATTTAATCAGTTAAAGTTAGAAGGAAGTAATTAGAGAGAAAAGATAATATACAAAATTATACAGAAAAATGTAGAATATTTGCATAAAAAATCGCGTATTATAAGCGTGACCGTAACACGAAACGATGACGACACGTGAGATGGTTGGCATTGTAGACAAAAAATAGATTATACAACATTAAATAGTGAAGATCAAAAAAAAAAAAAATTAACGTTTTTTTGTTTCCAAAATGGGAACCAAATGAAAACCAATAAAACCAATGAAAAAAATAATAATGAAGTAAAATTAAATGCATATTATGCAAAAACATGATTTGTTATTTAAAGCCAATACGTTTTAACATAATTTTTTACTATTATACAGGAGAGAAGAGAAAAATTATAGACAAAATTGGGAAAAGAATATAGACAAATCTAAAAAGGCCCTACACAAGAAATGCTTTAATGATTAATATGAGATTTCAAAAAATTTTTTTTTGGGGGGAGGAGAGAAAAATTTAACTAAACCAATCCCTTGACAATCTAGGTCATACATCACCAGGGTAAATTACTGCTTCTAGATCTTTAATAACTACAGGATCTATGTAAGGTGTTAATAAAGCTTCCAATAATTGTGAAGTGTATACAAGAAAACTTTCTTCATTCCCTTTTGCTAACACTTTGAGCATCTCCATAGCTCTTCTTGCTAACATAAGACAATCTTCATCATTATTATTTCCTCGAATATTTGCCAAAGTTGTTGACAATTTAAGCATTCTGCTTATGAATCCTGGTGTAGAAATCATCTTTTTTCTCATTGATTCTCCACTAAGGCTGGCAAAATTAAAACATGCCATTACCAAAGTTGCAAGAAAAGATAAATTGTTCATCGAAGGACGAGTGACACCTCCAATACCTAATCCGAAACTACTTTCTCTTAGATTTAACATTTTTGCCAATCTTTCAAAAGCCATTGTTAATGTTTCTTCATCACACCCACCAATTCGTAATCTATTCTCGTACGATACAGATATTTTAGAAAAAACTTCTAAAGCTACCTGAGCATAATAATCATCCGAACAATCCAAAAAGTCAATAATTATCACTAATAAATCTTTTGCGATATTTATTGAAGGTAATTGAAGATAAGCTGCAATGTTTGATAAAATTATTAAAACACTTTTACGTAATTCTAGAACATCATAAGCCCTTTTAAGAATCATTCTCTCTCCATTTTCATCTGTTTTAGATATTACTTTTATTATTTCATTTGAACCATCATCCTCACCCACATAAAGAGTTCGCATGAGTACATAAAGTAATCTTGGATGTGACGCTAAATGCTCATGATTTTCATTCATGAATGAAAAATTTCTTATCATATTGATTGTACACCAACATTGTTCATGTAATGGTAACCATTCTTCTGATGCAAATGATTTTCCATACGCCACTTCTGAAAATCCATCACATTCTTGTTTAACAAGTTGATATAATTGTTTATATGATTTGAATTTTCTTTGAGATATTGTATTTTCATCCTGAATCTCTTCGGAAGTTTCAGGAGAAACATAGTCTATATATTCTAATATCATATCAAATAATATATCCATCAAATCATCGCATTGTTTTAAATCTATAAAGGCATTACGATAATGAGAAAGTGTGGTTAAGGTATTAAGTGCATTTGCGACTTCTAATTTCATGCCACACTTTAAAGACATTGTGAGCGCATGTATATCAACTGCCCCTATATATATATGTATATATATGTACATATATGTGTGTGTGTATATATAAATATATATAAAAATAGGTGTATATAAAGAATATAAAGAATGTAAAGAAGAAAAGGTTAATAATTAATTATTTTTGAATGTCATGAAATCGATTTAAATATATATATATATACCTAAATCCTGTATTGCGGGTAAATGCAAAGGTATCGAAAAATTTTCGAAAGCTTTCATATCGTAACCACCATAAGACTCGACACGACGTATTTTTGGGCAATAATTAACTTTTTGAGGTCTAGGGGTTGTATTTTTTGGTGGTGATATTGGAGTCGTTGTATTAGGATTAGGAGATTGAGATTGTGGGGAAGGAACGGAAGGAGATTTCTCGGCTTGTCGAGGAACTTGGCCTTGGCTTTGGCTTTGGCTTTGGCCTTGACCTTGACGTGAATTAACTGCCCTTCGACCAGCAATTCCGCTATTTAGTGGTAAACGTAAATTTGTTGCCAAATTATTAGAAATACTTTGGGGATTAACAATTGTTGTATTTTGTTTATTAGTATTAGGTTGAATAGGATTATTAGTAATTTTAGAATTAAATGGTTGATGTTGTTGTTGATTAGAAGTATTTTCATTGAGACTTTTAGGAGGACTAATAGTTGAAGAGGGAACTCTCGACATATTATTTGATATTTGGGGATTTGTATATGCATTTTGATTTTCCGAGACGGGCATAATGGAAGAATCTGCTTGATTTTCTTGTGAAGAGGTTATTTGTTGCATGGGATCTATATGACCTATAATTGTGTTCGATTTATTTGATGTTAATGTAGAAGAATCTACAGCTTGTGATGATGATGTTTGTTTGTAAGGATCAATCACTGTATTTTGAATGTTAGAAGTCGAAGAAGGTATTTCAGGTGATATTGAAGAAGATTGTGCAGATTGTTGAGAATAACCTCTAATCATAGAATTTGAAGCCAAATGATCTTTAGATGGAATTTTATTATATTGTCCAATTTGGGATACTGTTTGTGTTGTTTGATTAAGATTAATAGATTGATTCTGGTTATATATTACCGATGCAGAATTTGATTCATCTACTAGATTTGAAGAAATATTAATGGGATTAGGATTAGGAGATCGAGAAGAAAGCATTCCTATTGAATTATGTTGAATTTCTTTTGGAGATAAATTCTGCGAAACATTACTCGATGACGAAGAAATTGGTGAAATATTAGAAAAGTTATAACCAAGTTCATCTCTATGTTGTGATTGCTGCTGCTGCTGCTGTTGTTGTTGTTGTTGTTGTTGTTGTTGTTGTTGAAGAAGAAGATGTTGTTGTTGTTGTGATGAAGGTGGTGGTTGTTGCGTTTGTGGTTGCGGTTGCGTTTGTGGCGGTTGCTGTGATGGTGGTGGTGCTGGTGGTTGTGATGTTGGTGGTTGTTGTTGCTGCTGCTGTTGATGATGTTGTTGTTGATGGATTTGTGTTTGAGATATTTGAATTGTGGTGGGTTGCTGAGATTGAGGGGTTGATTGTCGTTGTGATTGTTCAGGAATTGATTGTTGTTGTGGTAATTGATCTTCATGTGGTTGTGGTTGTTGTGGAGACCGCTGGAGATTACTTTGATTAATTGTCGCATATGACTTTGATTGAGATGGATAATTCAAATTTCCTTGTAATGGATTGGCATTCCAATTTCCTCCAAGGTTACCAGTTGCATCAGTTGAACAATTAAAATCATATACAATGTCCTCATCATCACCTAATTCTAACCAATCAACTTGACTTTCATCTTGTGGCATAGAATTTTGTATCGCTTGATTTGGTTGTTGGGAATGTGAAGATTGTGATTGATTTAAAAGGTTATTAAAATTTGATCCCATATTTCCGATAGGATTTGCCTTTGTTGGCGTCGGTTGTTGAAATTGACCATAATATTTATTTATATTTGGCGATGATGCATAATTATTAGACTGCATCGGTATCGGAGTTTTTCCCTCAATACTTTGGTCAGTATTTACAAATGATTGTGTGGGCACTGATCTTCCGGAGTTCATCATTTGTTGCTGATTGGGAAACCCACTAGCAGTTGCAAATAGTTGATTTTGACCAGGATTTTGCGTAATATTTGAAAACATACTTTGCATTTGAGGATTAGGTGCAAGAGCAACTCGTTTCGCCGCGGGCATGCCATTAGTTGTCATAGATGTCATAGAGGCGACAGGGACAGGGTATACCGGGCGACCAGAAGTGGGCATCATGGGGTTGATGTTACTTGACTGTAAATATCCGGTATTGTTAGTCATGTTAGCTGGTAAGTATTGCGGGGAGTATATGCCAGTACCCATGACATTAGCTGATCCAGCTTGAGGGTTACCAGGAAATGGATAAGGAACACGGTTCTGTTGTTGGCGTTGTTGATATAAACTTGGATCCATTGATCAAATGATATTTTTTTTCTTTGAATAGTTTTTTTCAAATAATATAGTAGCTCCCAGTAACACAATGTACTACACTTATTGTAGTACTAAAGGAAAGGTATTGATTTGATTGGCTATTTTTATATAGTACCAGTAACTATTTTAAACCACATGATAAATAAATATCACTTATTTTATTCATTAATAAGAAATAACTTTTTTATATTTTTTATTATTTTTATATAAATTGAATAAATTAAATAAATTAAATAAATGAATTTATTTTTTGGATTATGTACTTTATAAACATGTCAATCCAAGTTATAACTAACTAAATAGTTTATTTTCATTATTATTATAGAAAACAAACACTAGTCAAATAAACAAAAATTCTTGTGAATCTAACTATTTTTATATGCTAATTTTTTTTTTGAATGCATTATTATATAGATATTTGTGGAAATTTTTTTTATAATAATTTTATACTGTATTCAACATTCCAACATTTTTTTACATTTGGACTATATCTCGTTAAATATAATGTAAAGCCTATTGATAAAATCAATCATTAAAATCTAATTTATATTATATTTCTTGAGCGATTTTTTAATTTTTAATTTTTTTTTTTTTGATATTTTTGAAAACAGGTCAGTATTCTATTTGTCTATTTTGTTGTATATAAAACGTTGTGCACTAATGATATCGTAATATTTGTAATATTTTTACTGGTCGGACAACAATAGTTTAAAAAAACAAATAAAAATCATTAAATAATTAAAAAGCTAATGTGTATTAATTTTCAATTATATTAGGTAAATACAAAGATTATTCTTTATTTATTTATTATTATTTTATAAAATTTTATATCTATTGGCACAACTCTTGTATATTTTATATATTTTTATCATATTGTAAATGTGAAACTTGAAATGTTCGTTTCCTTTTTGAAGTCGTGCTTTTTCACCATATTTCCAATTAAATATAAAAAAAAAAAAATTCAAATAACGAAAAATTATTATTCAACCTTTAAATACTCTGTACTTTTAATAATACCTAACCTAATTTGAAATAAAATCTAAATAAAATTATATAAATTTATATAAATTTAAATGAAAGTTTTTTTTTTACAATTCGTCATGAGGTGCTGGCTCCTCTGACTTATCTGATGGTGGTGGAGGTTCTCCATATAACTTGGACGTAATTGGATTAACAATTGCTTGTAATTCTTCCTTTTTCTCATCAAAATCTTCTTTTGTAGCTGTATTTGAATATTCATCAAACCAATCCAAAGATTTCTTAATTGCTTCTTTGATTGTTGTTTTGTCTTCATCACTAAGTTTTTTGCCAAGTTCACCATCATCCGTAATTTGATTTTTAATTGTGTAAATATAGTTTTCAAGATTATTTTTTGCTTCAATACGTTCTTTTTGAATCTTATCTTCTTCAGCGAATTTTTCTGCTTCTTCAACCATACGATCAATTTCTTCTTTCGAGAGACGTCCTTTATCATTAGTGATGGTGATTGACTCAGATTTACCTGTACCTTTATCTGATGCAGACACTTTCATAATACCATTTGCATCAATTTCAAATGTAACTTCGATTTGAGGTACTCCACGTGGTGCTGGAGGAATTCCTGTTAATTCAAACTTTCCAAGTAAATTGTTATCTTTTGTCAAAGATCTTTCACCTTCATATACTTGAATCAATACTGTAGGCTGATTATCAGCTGCAGTGGAGAAAATTTGTGATTTCTTTGTTGGTATAACAGTATTACGAGAAATCAATTTGGTCATAACTCCTCCAGTTGTTTCTATACCAAGAGTAAGAGGGCAAACATCGACCAACAGAATTTCATTAAGGTTTTTATCATTACCGGAAAGAATACCAGCTTGAACAGCTGCACCATAAGCAACTGCTTCATCGGGATTAATATTCTTTGATGCCTTTTTACCATTGAAGAAATCTTCAAGAAGTTGTACTACTTTGGGGATACGAGTGGAACCACCAACAAGAACAATATCATGTACTTCTCCTTTATTAACATTGGCATCTTTTAAAACTTGTTCAACAGGTTTTAAGGTTTTTCGGAATAAATCATTATTAAGTTCTTCAAATTTTGCACGTGTCAAGGTTTCTGAAAAATCTTTTCCATCAAAGAATGATTCAATATCAATACGAGTAGACATTTGTGATGACAATGTACGCTTGGCCTTTTCAACTTCGCGCTTAAGTTTACCCACGGCTTTTAAGTCTTTGGAGGCGTCAACCTTGTTCTTCTTCTTATATAATTTAAGGAAATGATCGATGACACGATTGTCGAAATCTTCACCACCCAAGTGAGTATCACCTGCAGTTGCAAGTACTTCAAAGACTCCATCATCGATGGAAAGTAAAGAAACATCAAAGGTACCACCACCAAGATCATATACAAGAATTTGTCGTTCACCATCAGTTCTATCAAGGCCATACGCAATTGCGGCAGCTGTTGGTTCGTTTACAATACGAAGTACATTAAGACCAGCGATAACCCCGGCATCCTTTGTCGCTTGACGTTGAGCGTCATTAAAGTAAGCTGGAACTGTTACAACAGCGTGAGTGACTTTTTTTCCTAAATAAGATTCCGCGATCTCTTTCATTTTACCAAGAACCATGGCGGAAATTTCTTCGGGGGTAAATATCTTTGCTTCTCCTTTCACTAGAACTTGAATGGCAGGTTTACCATCTTTATCAATGACTTTAAATGGAAAATGTTTCATGTCATTCTGAACTTCTTTATCAGAAAATCGACGACCGATCAATCGTTTGGCATCAAAAATTGTATTTTCTGGATTATTTGCGGCTTGATTTTTTGCGGCATCTCCTACCAGACGTTCGTCGTCGGTAAATGCGACATAGGAAGGAGTTATACGGTTACCTTGGTCATTGGCCAAAATTTCGACTCGTCCGTTTTCTTGTACACCGACACATGAATAAGTTGTACCCAAATCGATACCAATAACTAAGAACAAAAGTTGGTTTTAAGACATGGATCAAAAGCTGGTTTGAAAAGACAAGAAAAAAAAAAAAGAAAAGTGTTATAAAACAAACCTGTGCCTAAATCTGGTTTTTCATCGGCGAGTACTATTGCAATAGGAATAGATATTAACAGTGCACTTAATACTGCAAAAAATGTGAAGAATGTAGTTTTCTTCATTTTATAAAAATTGAAGTTAATAGTCAAGAAATTTTTTTCAGAAGAATTGAGGCGAACAAAAAGGGCGTTTTATATATACAAACCGTTAAATTCAATTGCAGATGTTGGCAATATCCTATTGGTTAAAGTTTAAACACGTATTTGGTGGCAATTTTTAATTGGTAAAAAATTCTTTTCGGGGACGGAAATCTTATTTTAAAATACTAACAGCATAAATTCAAAATTATATAATATAAATAATAATATAACAATAACATTATATTAAATATTTTTTTTTATATAATGATATCATCACAGAGATTTGCATTTAAATTATTTAATTACTAATTATTTACTAATAAAATAAAAATACCAGGTGGCAACATATATTTTGTTCTTTTACCTGCAAATATCACATGCATGAGATTCTTTGCATATCAAATAATATAAAAAGAGATAAAAATATATAAAAGTATAAAAGGCGAATAAAAAGAAGTTTGAAGAATTTTCTACAAGATTACCACGTGTGAACTATAAATCATGATCCAAATATTTCGATAAATCAAATCCGATACTTTGGGCAATTTGATTAATACAATTTGAGCTTACATTACATCGGTATGACACTTCTTCCAGTCGTTCCAATGAACTCGTTCGAATTAAAAGACGATGAGTAACAAAAGATTCTATCTGTGTATTTTATAATATTTAATAATTATTTAAAAATTTAAATCAATCGAATTTTCTAGAGAATATAATATTAATAAAAAACCTGCATCTGAATATCAAAAGTTTGAATAATCCCTTCAACATATATACATTGAAAAATGGCTAATACACGTTCCATTTCGCATAATTGTGGGCCTTTCTTTTCTAATGTAAGCTATAAATATAAATATATTATTATTATATTTATATTTATTATATATTATATTTTTTAAGTATCTCTCATTAATCATCATGCGTCAACTTATTTACCTTTTTAGGATTTTTAGGACTTTTATCTATCTTTTTCTTTCTAAGCTTCCTTTTCTTTCCAGTAGATTCTTGTGCAAAATATTCTTTGTCCAAAAGTTTTGGAATGTATGAACCTAGGTATGTTGCTATTAGTAAATATAATGACCATTTGGGCATTTGATCTTCCGGTTTGGCTTTTTTTTTTTTTAAAAAAAAAAAAAATTAATATATATATATATAATAATTTAAATAATTTAGAAGTTTACAATTTTAAACTTACTGGAATTATTTGATATATTCTGTAAATATAAATTATCTAACGCAGATTCTAAATATGGCTTTAATTCATTACATAAAAACGATATATCATTTCGGGTTGCTTCAAACCAAAATTTAATGAATTAGATAACTCCTGATTACTATTAATATTATAAGATTAATAATATAATTTTGATTCCAAACCTCTTTCTTCATTCACTGGTATCATAAACTTTTCAAAAAGACCAGGTAAAAGACGGATCAAATCCAACAGATCACAATTTTCGAAAAACACATCGCAAATATTTTCAACAAATTTACTATAGAAACGTGGATCTTCGTTCTCTGGGCAATTTTTGATCAGAATTTGAAAAACCTCGTGTGTTTGACAATTTATAAACGTTAAGGATTTTTTTTTTTTAATTAATGTGAATAATAATAAATAAGAATCATAAAAAAATTTATCGGGATATTTTTAGAATACTCCTGAAAATAAAGTTGCCACGGTTCAGGAATTCCTATAATTTTTCTAAATTTTTCCCATGGTACTTGAGAAATAAGGATCACACATATATTTAAGTTAGTCTATATCAATAATTAATAATTAATAATTGATAACGTATTAGGAAGAAAAAATTAAAAGAATTAGATCGATGGAGAAATTCTCTTTGTAAAATAATATAAAATGATAGAAGATAGCTCACCCATTGTGAAAGTGCTAATAAAGCTGGTACTAATGTTGAAGACAATTTCCAAAGTAATTCGGCATTATCAAAGATCTAGATTAAGAATTTTTATTTTTTATATTAAATTTGATATGAAAAATTTCTTATCCATTTACATTAATTATATTATCAATTATATTATTTATAATTTTTAGATGATTTTTTTTTTACCAAATATTTAGTTTCCAAATTATTCTCACAAAGTTCTTGCATTTGTATAGTAAAATCATTGATATTTTTACATATGATGCGTTTTTCTGCGAGATTTTTTAATGTATATTCAAACACTTGCTGAGGTGTATAGCAAATCCGACAATTTACAAATGAAGATTGGCCAGTTGTGAAACCAAGAGTAAAGAGTCTTTTAATAAGTTCGGTTTTTCCCAATGCTCTATTACCGTGAATAAAAATTGTTGGAGGTGTCCTTTCATCGGGCTAAAAACGCCAATAAAAACGTCATTTATGAATTATTAATGAAATTATTTGACGCGTCTCTCTCTTTCTCTATCATAATAATAAAGGTAACTACCTTGCCAAACCAATTCAGTAAAGTGTCAATTTGGCTTGTTCGTCCCGGGAATTCTTCGAGCAACTTTTTCTTCAATTGTGGTTCTATTGTCATTATAGCGAGATATGTAATAAAGTACAGTTAGGAACGGATTAATCTAAAACGCGTGTTGCTCTTACTGTATTAATGAATATGATTGGTTCATATCGAGACTTAAATTATATCGCGTCGCGTTCTGGGAAATTAGAATTCATTAAATTCCAATGCAATGTCGCTTAAACCTATTATTTTACAACAATTCTGTTTTGTATATAAATTAATTATTCAACATGATTCGATAAGTTTTTTAGAGGAAAATATTAGTGAATTCGTAAGAAAAAAGCGTTCCTCTCAGGAAGAATTAATTAATTTAATTAGTGATATAGCGAAGGAATATATCAATAATAATGGTATACTAAAGTTTTAACTTGATGTTTTATTGCTATAATATAATTTACAAGTAATTAACCAGAAATTAAACAAGAAATTAGAAATAATTAACATGATATATACAATTAATAGAACATAACAGTTTTGTTGAGCTGGAGAAATTAAAAACTGTTTATCATAATTTATCATGCCTAGAAAATATAGAAAATGTAAAAACAGTATTGGTTAATAATGATTTAACAATTGACGATATGGATCCGAATGAATTTCTTCGTGTAGTGAACGCTTTTGATATGCCCAATTGGAATTATTCTAATGAAAAAAAGGGGTTTATAAGGTGAAAATTTAATATATTCTGTTCTAAAAAATTGTCAAATGCAATTAATAACATTTGAAAATTATTTTTAAAGAAAGCTTAATCCCCTAAAGAAAATAAACCCTTCAAAAGGATGCATTAATATCGAAAGATTTGATCTAGTTTATCAAAGGTTAAAACGATGGCCAGGATATTTAAAACAAACCACAAGTTTTAATAAAATTGATAATAAGGTAGAAAAATTAATAGTGCTTTTTTTTTTTTCCTTTTCTTTTCTTTGCTAAAAAAAGAAAAGAATTTTTCATTACATTAGTTACCAACGATAAAAGATCTTCGTGGAAGGACTGGTCAAATGTTTAACATTTTTGGTATGTTAACTTTATCAAAAGAAGGAATATATTGTTTAGAAGACAAAGATGACATTTTGAAATTAGATTTATCAGAATGTGTAAGTATAAATTTATAATAATTTTAATATTTATATTTAGATAAGATAATAAATGATAAGATAATAAATGATAATTAAAAATAATAATAATAATAATAATAATAATAATAATAACAATAATAATAATAATAATAATAAAGATATTTGATGGTATCCACGCTGAAGGTAACTTTGTTATAGTTAAAGGACAATATTGTGATGGTCAAATATTTAAAGTAGTTAATATGGAAAATCCGCCATTAGAATGTGCTGATGATACAAGGTTAGTTATGGGAAATACGTTCCTTAATCTAAAATGAAATCATTAACTGACTCTTTTCTTCATTTCCGTTGATCTTATTTGAAATATAGGAGAGAATTTGGTCGTATTGATTTCTTGGGAGTTTCAGCCTCTAGAGAAGATAGAGAAGATGAAGTTCGGTTTTTTTAAAAAAAGTTTTGGATTTTATTGTTGTTTTATTATTTCTAATTAAATTAACATTTTCTTTTTTTATATAGATGATTAAAAAGTGTGAAATTTCATGGAAACATTTATTCTTTGCAATAATATCTGACGTTTGGTTAGATAAACCTGAAGTTAATAAAATTTTAATAAATTTATTATAACATCAATAATATTACAAATTCTGACTAGCATTTAATTTAATTTATTTAGACTCTGAAAAATCTAAGAAAAATGTTACGAGGTTATCAACGTGTAAAAATATTTCCTTTCGTTTTCATCTTTATTGGAAATTTTTTATCCGAATCATTTTTATATTCGGACGAATGTTCTGTGAAATATCGAGGTAATGTCATCTTTATCATCTCAACCTGTCATTATTATATCAAATATTACTTTAAGCGGACGTGATCTCTGAAGACAAAATTATTTTTTATATTTTTTTAGCGGCATTTGATAAATTAGGAGCTCTCATCGCAGAATTTCCTTCCATAGCAAAGTCTTCTCATTTTATCTTTGTACCAGGTAATAATGATTTTAATTTCAATGGTATATTACCACAAAGACAAATATCAGATTTATATACTGCTCGATTAAGACGAAAATTACCCAATTCTGTGTTTGCAAGTAATCCTTGCAGGTAATAAATTTACAAATTTTACAAATATTATAATAACCAAATTTTGAGTATATCACCTTAATTTTAAAAAATGTTTATTGTATATTTTTATCAAAGGATTAAATATTGTAGTCAGGAATTAGTGGTTTTCCGCGAAGATATAATTTATAAATTCAAAAGGTATAGCGTAGAACCATCAAAACTTCAAAATGATCAAGATAGTCTTGAAAAAAAAGTAAGTTGTTTTTATTTGTTGTTCATTATGAAAAATAAGATCAATAATTTTATATAAAATTTGATTAAAATGTATTAATAGGTAATAAAGAATTTATTACAACAATCACATTTAAATCCTTTATCGTCGTCTCTGAATTCTATTGCATGGGATTATGATCACACCCTTAGATTGTATCCAGTACCGGATGTTGTAAGTTATTTATAACTTGTAATAAATAAATTAATAACAATATTTAATCTTTCATTGGCAAATATCTTATGACCGAAATTATAATCAATTAGTTAATATTAGCAGATAAATATCAAAATTATTCGTTCGATATTCCAATCGCTTCAAATTTTATTGAAGATTCTCTTAATAATAATAATAATAATAATTGTCATTGCTTAAACCCAAGTGGATTTTCATCAAGTGGATATAAATGGATGGTGTATTATCCAGCATTAAAAAAATCCGAACTTTGGTAAAATTATTATTTTGTTTATTTAAAATATATTTTTTTTTATCGATTCTAATTTATTTTTTTCTTCTTTATTAATATAATTAAAAGCGAATTGCCTACTCGTGGATTATAAATTAATACATTTTAGCATTAAATAAATATTAAAAATTAAAGAATAATAATATACAATGTTTAAATAAAGTTATCAAAAAATAAATTCTAGAAAAAAATTCTTGTTTCCCTAATTTCCTCCAAGTTTTGCTCTCTCAAAGGTGTATCAGCAAATAGTGCACATATTAAACCTTCCAACTCGTCAGTTGTAAAACAATCAAGTTCGGATGCACGAAATCTGTTCATTATGTTAGCAAAAGAAAGTTCTAAAATATCCGTAATCTGACGATATTTCTTCCAGCTTTTGGTGTAATTTTCAATTGTATTCGGCTATAATTAATTATTTTTTTTTTTTAAAAAAAAAATTGAGATATAAATATTACAACTATGTAAAATTTCAAAAAAAAAGAAAGTAAATTATTAATACCTCAAATAAATTTTCTAAAGTGAATAATATTGAATATATCAAATTCAATTGATGTGATTCTTCCGCAGAAATGTCATATAAATCTTCCAAATTATCAATCATAATTATTAACGGTGTGTCTATTAATGTGCCCAGTGCCGAATAATATTCTGAAGGTCGTAACACTCCCTGAATAAAAATTTATATAATGTTATTGCGAATGTTAAACGCAGATGAAATTAAATTGAAACAAAATTAAAATAAAATAAACAAAATAAAAACGAACCTTCCAAGTTCTTGATAGACGATTAATAGTGTCTATAACTTGATTCATGGCACGCTGACAAATCTCAAATCTTTCATCATTCGCTGTTTGTTGTACTCCACCAATTTCTTCTAATATGTCTTTAATTGTTGACTTTTGTTTATCCTTTGTATAAAATAATAATTATTAGTAATAAATATTAACAATAGATAATAATAAATAAATAATAATAAATGATAATAAATAATAATAATATAACGATATAAATAATATATACAAACAGTTAAAATAATTATTGTCTTTAAAATAAAACTCACAATTTGTATATTATACCATTCATCACCCAATTCTCGTAATCTATCGGAAATCTCATTATATGAGATTTTATCGATATCTTCTGAATCAGAATCATTTAATGATGATAAAACGGTAGAATATTTATCTTGATTAATCAATAATTGTTCAGCTATCCATGTACAATCATTACGAAATAACATAGCTAATGAAGGTATATCAGTTAAATTATTTGAATGATATATTGGCATAATTGCTTGATATAGATCAAATAGATCGAGTGTTGTTTGATAAAGTCGTATACCACTATTATTGAAAGGATTTTATAAATTTATTAAGAATAATAAATTTATTAAAGTATCAATTATTTCATACCTTTTAGCGTTCAGATTTTGTATTTCTTTTATTTCATTGAAAATGTTGATTGCTAAATCAATCAAATCTTTAGATTTTACTGATATAGAATATTGTATCAATCTTTTTTCTAATTTCTGTGGCGAAATTTCTTCATTTGATTTCTCATTTCGATTATTTTTATTATTTTGATTTAATAAATTATCTTCATTATTTTGATTCAATAAATCATTATCATTATCATCATCCCATTCTTCATTCCATTCTACTTCCCAACCTTCATTTGGATTATCATCATTATTGGTTTTAATCGCAAATTTATCTTTATCTTCTGATTTTATAGTTCCATTATTTCTGTTTTCTTCTATATTTTGCTCAATAACAATTTCTGATTTTATTGTTCCTTGATTTGCGTTTTCTTCTAAATTTTCTTTAATAACAATTTCTGATTCTTTTTCCTCTTCAGTAATTAACAAACTCTCAAAATTATCTTCTAACATTATCTTCCTTCCAAGTTCCAATAATTTGTCTCTTTTTTTTATTATAAAAAGAACATCTACTCTTGCTACATAAGATCCCAAAGTTCTTACTTCTTCTTCATCTTCACCCTCACGAGGTGTTCGCATAAATTCCATTTTACGCATTTCAGCCTGAAAACGAGATACAGCATTAGCCACTTTTTTAAATTGTTTAAATTCGCTTATCTCCGTTGGAATCACATGAGAAAGGTACTCATTAATCACAGCATCACGTAAATCATGTGATATAAACTTCCCAAAGATAGATGAACATTGAGAAGCAAACGGCAATATTAAAGTTTGTTTAGTTGTCTGATCAACACCACCGAACATAAAAGTATATATAAATTTAAAAACAGTAGTCAACGATGTAAATACTCCATCATCTTGAAAAAAAAAGCAATTTGAAAAATATCAATACGTAGAAATTTAGAAATATCTAAACAAAATGTAAAATTATGTAGAAAAATGTAGAAAAGTTATTAACCTTGATCTTCATTGTTAGAATCTTCATTATTATTCTCATCACCTTTGTCATCTGAAGGTTTTCCAATAAGCAATTTAGTTGTAACATCATCTACAATTTTTATTGATGCTTTCCATGAATTACGATTTTTTAATAATGGAATTATTATGAATTTCATTAAATTTTTTTTTAGTCTTGAAAGACGCATATTTATAGAACCAATTTCCAGGAGAGAAATGAATATAGAAGTTAGGAGAGTGGCATTTTCATCTATACCTAAATCTATATTATGTATTTAAATTGAGTAATTTGTTAAAAATATAAATGCATAATGGATTCTAATTCAAGAGAAAAAAAAATCACACCTTACTTTGTACAGTTGATAAAATTGTAAAATTAACGCCATTAATAATTATATTATTATTATTATCATCATTATTATTATTTTCATTATTTTCTTCTTTAATATTTTCAAAAGAAATAGCAAGGTCTAATAAATCATCAAGATATTGATCAAGTGATTCTTTCATATTTGCCACTTGCGTCTGAATTATGCATTGATTTAATAACAATTAATTTTAAAACGTTAATTATATTTCGAATTTTTATTGAAATATATTGTTGTTGAAATAGAAAGATTTGTTAGAATTATTGATTTTTTAATTATTAACCTTGAATTTATCCAAAATATAAATTTTTCGATCGACATTGATTGGAGGAGATTCCAAATGCCTATCCTAATTTCACTTTGCATTAGCTTTTACTTATTTTGATAATATGATATTAAATAAACATAAATTCATTTCTTTTATACCATTTGTGTAATGACTCCGGCAGCTTCCTCAATTCGACTTTGTTTCATATACTCTTTAAATCGTTGTGATGATTTTTGAAGCTTTATTATTAAGATATTTATAATTAAGTATATGAATTCCTTAATTTTTCTAAATATCAAATGTATTTTACTTAAAAAATACCTCACATAAATATTCCAATGTTTCTATCATACATTTAGTATTTTGAGTTTCTTGTTTAACCTTTCGATTCTCTTCCAATGTAGTAAGAAGCTTAGGTTTTATTCCTATCTAAAAATAATAAGATGTAAATAATTTTAGTAAAATATAACAATATATCAAAAAATATTTAAAGTTATAAATACCTCGGGATCATTTACTTCTCTTGATACATTATCGACCTCCAAGAACAGAGTGTCGATTTTGTTACGTAATGCAACGGACTTTGTTATAGAGAGTAATAAATTAGCAATTGTAATTTCGTGCAAATAGGAAAATAAATAAAAATTGTTTTACGAAAGGTCAAAGCATGACTTAATTATTAGTTTGCACTTACCTTTTCTTTTTTTTTGTCGAATTCATCCTGACGATCTTGAATGATTTGCAAAACTTCGGTCTATGAAATTCATAAATATAAGGGATATAAGTTTTTTTTTACAATTAATATTAACTTGAAATAAATTAAAATTTTGTAAAAACCTTCACGCTACGAATTTTATCGTCAATTCGTTGTATACACGCAAATAAAACTTCTTTCTCGACAAAAGAGTTATTTAACAGGTCATTTTGAGTGTTTCTAACTGAATCCGGAGACGCATCGCTACTTTCGTCATCATTTTCTAATATTGCATTGATAAAAGCTTTGGGAAGAGAAGACAATTGAACTGGTAATGGTGGCATTATAATGAAAATGTGAATGCGTTATTTGATTTGATCCGATTTAAATTTACTGTAATGCATCAACAATAGGCATACTAAGCATTACTAAGTATGGCTACTATTATCTCTAGATAATAAAATCCTTTTAAAATAAAGTTAAATGTTAATGTAAATAATTTTATTAAAGAAATTATTATATCTATTATTGTTTGATCTAAATTTTCACGTATCCGTGCTATATCTCCATTTATATGAAGAAGTTGTGGGAATGTGAAAAATTGAAAAGTATTGTATCAAATAGTTTGCTTAAAATAATCAAATTCTCCTTGGATTCTTTTGGTCTTCTTTCTATCTTAGAAATACCTTATAGAAATCACTATGCTTAACAAATTGTAAGTGAAGTCAAAAAAATGTGAAATCTCCAGGTATCAAAAATATTGCAGAGATTTTTTCCAATTAAAATTTCCTGATGCAGTAGTAAGATGGAACAAAAGACATAAGTTAGAAGAAAACAAGATGATACCATAGAAAAAATATGGTTAAAGTCTATGTCCATCCAACAAAAACATTTTTTTGGTGATAATTCAACCATTTGAGTAAATGAAAATTTTGTAAAGTTATTGTTCATTTAAATATGCTTGAATTAAACAAAATGCATAGCAAGAATAAAGTGTATAAATGAAGTGATAAATGTGTTTTGTAGCCTTTTCATTTTAAAATGAATGCAAAAATAATTAAGTAACCTGAGCATCCAGATAAATTTTTTGATTGAAAATGCATTATACTGGATATTTTTTTTATTTTCATATATAGAATATTTCAAAATATCTCAAAAATCAGAAATCAATTTTTTGGAACATGTATAATTGAATACATTACTGTTTTCATTAATGCTTAATATCCAATATTAAAGAATTAGGAATCATATATTATTCAAAATGAAACCTATACTTTCAAAACATATAGTTGTGTGAAATGTTCAAAATATTGGTATAATTTGAAATTTGAAATTTGAATTTGTATAATCTGAGATGTACATTGTAAAACTGTAATGAATCAAAATAAAATGGAACTTGAGAAATCATTCTTTGAACATTATTTGATGAAGTCTTGATTCTCGATAGTAGTTATACTTAACACTACTTAGTATGTCTATTATTGATGCATTACAACTTATTTGAATATTAGAAATTTATTATTTTATAATACAATTTATCAATTTATATAATTTATAATTTATGTAATTTATATAATTTACTTTAATATATTTACTTTAATATATACAATAATCCCATTTCATAATTTTCATAACAATAACCTAATGATATTAAAATATTTATAATATATTACAAATGTCTATTTAAATAATAAAAAAAATATCTTCATTGTTCATCATTTATAATAATATGCCATTCTTGCAAACAAAGTCGTTGATATTCATTATGATCAGGTGTCTCAAGATCTCTGATAAAGTTAAAGAAACAAAAAGAGATAAAAGAAAGTTAAGGAAAATTTTATCAAATGAAATATTTCATAACTTTAATAATATTTTTAATATTTTAAAGGATACGGATTATCAATATATTTTTGTAATTCTATAAGTCCTTCTTTTTGTTTAATTGCAATTTTCATATTACTTGTTTTTAAATAATCCATGAATTCATCATCATTATTCATAATCTCAGATTTCACAATTTCATTTATATCCATTTGTTGTTCCTTTGATTTATTTGATATGGTTTTGAGTTCATGAAACTTTTTATTGACTTCAAGTAAATAAGAAATTATTTGAGGCCGCTTTTCTTTAAGATTACAGCAAATTACATATCTAAGATAAAGAAAAACATAATCAGATTAATTGAATTTGTAAAAAAATATTATTATTAAGTTTAACAAAAGAAAAAGCTTTTATAATACCTTTCGGAATTAGCTGGTCTACTTGGTAATGGTTTAATGATACATATTCTTTCAAAATGTCGATATAATATCCAAATTAATCCAGCAGTAAATGGAGAGAAAATTTCAAATACTTTTAATACAAAAACACCATCTGAAACAAAAAAACATGATTAAAATAATTAAAATAATGAATAATAATCTTTAAAGAAAAATCAAATTTTTCATTTACTTTTTTTTAATGTTATAAACATTGTAATTATTTGACACAATAATAAATGCTTTAAAAGTCTTTCTTGATGAGATTCTTGTCCTCTTATATCAAACCCCTAAAAGAATAATAGAATAATAATTTAATATAACAGAGAAGATAACGAACCACTAGATAATAAATATAATAAATAAAATTACCCCATCAGCAGTAACTAAGTCAGCTCCAATGCCATGTGTTCCTTCCATAACAATTTTTGCAAAATAATTCATATTTTCTTCCTTATATAAATCTCCTATAGAAAATAATATAATTGAATAAAAAATATTATTGAATAAATAATTGAATAAAAATTTAAAATTATTTCAACACTTTAAATAATAATAATAATAATAATAATTTACCTGTCCCATCTTCGCCATAAATTGGTTCAAAAGATTTTTTGACCATTGAATCAGGATTAAACTTATCAAGATCATAATCAAGTGAACCAGTTAATGTAATACCCCAACCAAAAACTTTTTCTCCGCATGAATGTTTTCTCCACAATAAATATTCTATAATATAATTATATTATTATTTAAGTTTAGTCAAATAAATATTTTCCAATTTAAATTTTGAATTTTTTTTTAAAAAATTTAAAACCTGCAAATCCTCCTGGTCCACCACATAAATCAGCGAACCAAAATACCTTTAATAATAAATTAAATTAAAATAACTTAAAATTAAATCAAATCTATAAACCTGTTATTGAATTGATTATTAAATTTTCACTTACTGGATCTTTAACTGGATCGTACCTCTTAACTCCAGTAAATGATATTTGTGAATCTAAACATGCTAATTTCATTGCTGAAAGATTCAAAAATATCGATTCCCCAACTTTTTCATAAGGATTTGCTTTTCCACGGGCTTCTGTTAATTTTGCGCGCGGGACATTAGTAAGTTTTCTCTAATTATAAAAAAATTAAAGAAATTATATAAATTATAATAATAATTTTTTTTGCGCGTTTTATTAAAAATTTTCGGATAAAAATATTAAATACTTATTATTATATGAATCAATTGTTAAAATAAATTATTTTTACCTTATTTTCTAAAAGACCTTCTACTAATTCTTTAATACAAAATTGATCATAATCAGGTTCCAAGATCTTTTAAATTAAGAATTTAAGAATCAAAATTTTATATTTTTTATATTACAAAAAAATTACTACAATAATTCTCACCGGCCCAACAATCATTTCTAAACCAGGTATTGGTTTTCCTTCCTCATATATAAAATTACTGGTTAAAAATGCTACGTTTTGACTTGGTAATTCAATTTTTTTTGGTGCCGTAAATTGATTTTGAGGTAATTGATGATCTCGATAATTTGAAGGTTCTTCATAATTCTGTCCTCGATTCCAATAATTATTTGTACATTTGGGACAGGTATCAATTGATGGTATAGGTATTGTAAAGGATAGAGATGTATTTTTGTAATCTAAATCTTCATCTAAGTATTTATTTGAATTACTATAGTTTGACCAAATAACCAAGATTTATGATTTGTTTTGAGAAATATTTATTGAATAAATTTTATTAATTTTTATTACCATTATACGGATCCGACTCCATTGTGGATTATGTAGTATGTAATATTAAAAAATGGAGTTTTTTTTTTCTCTTGTTGTTTGTTATCTTGAGCACGTGACTAAAACATTTGTTTTGAAAGAAATCAGAAAAAATTATGCACCCGAAGGTGCTATCCACTCAAGATTGAACGTGTCATCCTTGTGCAGGGGCCATGCTAATCTTCTCTGTATCGTTCCAATTTTATTAAGTGTCGCTCCGAAGAGACGACACTAGAATAGCAGCTGGTTTCCTTTTATATAACAAATTATAAAAAAAAAAATCAATTATGGGATTCTCAAAATAATAAAACTATTAATTAAATTATCACGTGTCAAAAATTTTTGAAAAATTTTTTTTTTTTTTTTTAAGAGTCGAAACGAAGATGGGTCGCTAAATTAGTTTAATGAGTATAAATATTTGATTCTTCACAACGAGAGGAATTTAACAATATAAAAATTATTGTGTTATAATTATAAAATATTATAAAAATTATGTTTAAATTAAATACCTTTGATCAATATTTGATCTAATTAGTTACCTATCGTTAACCTCCCATTTAATTTTGATTTCACCATTTGATCTAATTAGCGTGAAGTTGCCACCATTTTGATTTTGAATTTATCGAATCTAAAAAATAAATTGCAAAAATCCAACTAATGGTTGTTCTAATTGTAATACTGTAATAATAATCGAAAGTCATGTGTTATAGTAGAACAAATTTTAATGTCATATGATTTTTCCATTTGCTGTTACTGAGAAAATCTCTTCTAAACAATGGTATATCAACCGCGATCGCCTTCACCATCACAATCGTTGTTTTCTACTAATGAAGGTCATGGCTGGTTACGTCGCCGAAAGTATGATGATGAAGTATCAGTGGTCTCAGAAACGTTAGAATCACCACTTCCAGCCCGTTTCCCACGGACTCAATCTCAATTATTGCAGTCTCCGGAGGGTGTACCTACATCAGCAAATAAAGTGTTTCCTTCAGATAAATCAAATCAGTCAAGTTATTTGAATCAATCTGGTCAATTAAGTCAATCAAGTCAATTAAATCAGTCGAATAAACCGATACCAACTTCTTTAGCATCGGTGGGAAGTTCTTTCCAAAAATTAAGCCTTCAAACAAGTCTGGCTAATCATGCAAAAGATTCCTCAACAATACAAACTCCGATGGGTATACCTGGTGGATCTGGAGGAACATTAGGATCATTATCAAGAGAAGCAGTAAATCATACAAATCGTATAAATAATCCGTTTGTAAGATCACAAACTCCATACCCATTTCGATCAAGTTTTGGGAATACACCTCTGCAACCTATGGAAACTTCACCGATTCCTTCAATTAATGGTTCAACTACTGGTGGTTTTACTAATGGTAATTCGGTTACTAGCAGTGGTTCAGTTATTGGTGGTGGTTCGGTTGGTGGCGGTAGTTCGGTTATTAGTAGTGCGAATAGAATGTCAAATCAAAATTTTAGTATGAACACAAATATTTATGGATTTGATTCATCAGGAGTAGTAAATTCAGTAATGAGCCCATCTCGAAAAGTAGAAAAAGATAAAGTCGATACAGCGTTGGTACAATCTACACCATATCCTAAACCAAGACAACAACCTATTTCAACAGTTACACCTAAAAAAAATCATATTCCATATCAAGTACGGGAACTTTTAATTCAACAAGAATTACCAAAAAATAAATATCAAGATTTAGTGAATAACAATGTGAAATTATTATTAATTTATATTGGATCCATGGCATTTATATTTTTTTTACCATTTTCAAGAATTCAAAGGTATAATTTTTTTTTCCATTTTTATCAAATTTTTTATCAAAATTTTTTACTTCAATATTAAGTGTTGTAAATGTAAGTAAATCAACTATATTAATTTTATTTAACTTATTATTTAACTTATAATTATTTTAATTATTTTTTTTTCAAATTAGTATGTTTGAATATATTGAATTATTCAAACATGAAGGATCGACAGATATAAGTTATTTCACTGTATACGGAGTTAGTAAGTTAATAAATATATTAAATATAATATAATTGTATTTCATATAAATTATATTAATCACTTTTTTTTTTTTTATTTAATTCGTTATTAGAGACAAGTCTTGTCTTATATTTAGCATTCCGTTTATTCGAACTTTGTTATATTAATTATTTATGGAATAAAGAGGAAAAAAGAATAATGGAGATTAGAGAAAGAATAGGTATCTATTTTATATATTTATTATATTTTTATAATATATTTATTATATTATTAATATTTCAAATAATATTAATATTAACATTTGATATTAAATCTAAAAGAAAAAGAATTGGGAGAAAATGGAGAATCGTCAACAAATAATCCACCAAATAATTCATCATCGAATAATCCAAATTCCAATAATAATGTTGGGAGTGGTGGAACATTTTTTACACCTTTAAGGGATAACAACACCTTTAATCGTCTTTCTTATCAAAATTCTGATTTTACTCCATCAAACAATGCTATTAGTCCTAGTACTATTACTGGTAGTATTATTAATCAAAGTCGTTCTACTAGTCAAATATTCCAATCTTCACAACAATCACAACCACAATTTCAATATAATACAATAAATCCTATTATAACTACAAGTACTTCAACAAATTCTTCTCAAATTGTTCCAACAACAAATGTCACTGATAATTCTTCAAATCAATCATCATTTGTTCCCAATGCTTGGTTTGCAGATGGTACACCAGTTCCAGTTCAAGTTCCTGTACCTAGATATAGAATTGCTCCATATGTAACTCCAACGAGATTTAGTGAAAGATTAGTTAATTTTAAAGGGATTCCTGCAATACTGCCTCCTGATGCTGACCCTGATGAAGGAATTGAATATTGATGAATATTATTTTACATATATCATATGTATCATTAATAATTATTGAAATTAAAACATTTTGTTATTATTACAAATTTGTAATACATATTGTAATCATTCATTTTTTTTTTTTCATAAATAATAGACAATAATTGATTAAAAATTTAATTAGTTAATAAAAAATTTTCTTGTATTAGCATATAGACATTTAACAAAATAAAGATACATTTCATTTAAACAGTTGTCTTTTTTTTAAACAAAAAAAAAATTTATTCAAATTATAAAATAATTAAGAATATAATGGTACAGTACTCAGGTTTCAAGACAAGGATATCGACAACAAAAGAATTATGTTAGTATTTTGTTCAACCAATCAAATCATACAATAGAACATGCTCATATTAAGATAAATATGGCTTAAGGGAGTCGGATCAGGTCGTTATGAATCAAGAAATCGGAACAAGGTAATAAGATTTAAGAGAAATAAATATGGTTCAAAGGAGCCGAAACAACATGAACCGGGTTCCTTCTGACAGATCTAGTGCTTCTGGAAAAGCATATACGGTTTTCTAATTCAGGAACAAGATAAGGAAGTCAGGGCATAAGAGAAAGTTCAAGAGTCCAGGACAAAATAAAGATGGATAATTCAAGAAAGAGTGAAAAATGAGGAGGGTCCAATCCAGATTCTTATTTATAATAAAAAATTTATGGTTGTACAAACTTAAATAATATATGTTGAGTCATATGATATACTTAGGTTTAAGGATTATGTATCATTATTATAGGCTATGGAATAACCTTTCTTTAATTTAAATAAAATAATAAATTCAATTCTTGAAGTAACGTGTTTTGAATATAGATTCTTTAGCCACAAATGTGGAACTTTAACAACTAATTTTGATTGGACATTTTTTTAACGTACGACCTTTAAAAATTTTATCAATGATACATCTCTTCAAAAACTTTTAAAATGTTGAAATTATTTATGATTATTTTTTAATTAATTTATATTTCTGTTAAATTAAAATCAAATATTTTTTAAGTGACATTTTTTCTTTGATTTTTTGATTTGAAATTATGAATCAAACAAGAATTGTATTTGCTGCACTTAAACCACATGTACCGCTTATTAAGTTTATTGGACCAAGAAGTAAAGTTATCACTGGTAGGATATTTATTTGAGAAAACTCTAATTTAATAAATTAATTTAATTATGTTAAAAAAAAAAAAATTAAAGATAAGCATCAATTCAATAAGAATATATATTTATTTATTTATTTGAACAAAAATTTTCTCTTTATCCCTTTTAAAAAGAAGACGTAACATCAAAACCACATCCCGCGGCACCTAAAAGTTCTACACCTCCTTCTTCAATAACAATACAATCATCACCAACACCAAAGCATAACATTGAAAAATTATCTAATAATAATAATAAAAAAAAATATATATTTGAGTACTCCCAGTTACCTCCAAAATATAAGCGAAAGGAGTTATCAAATGATGAGATTGAAGCTATTGAGGTTGGTCAGATAATATTATAAGATTTTAAAGAATTTTAATTACGTTTTCATTAATTAATTTATCATAATTTTAATTTTAATAGGCTGGTGGAGCAAATTATATACTTAGAAATTAATTGAATTTATTTATTTTTAAATAATTTCAATATAAATATTATTTTTTTTTTGATTACTATTTCTAAATTTGATTATTGATTGTTTAAGAAAATTTTTTAATTTTGGTGTGATCTGTTTTATGGATGAGTTTTAATATATATCTATATAATCATTAATAAAAAAGTAAAAATTACAAGTCGCAATTATTCTTATTAGTTTCAAGTTTTTGTTTTAAAAAAAAAAATGTAATAATAAGAATTAAGTATCAAACAGAATTTTGAATAGTGAAATGATTGTCTAATATAAGGACAATATTTATCGAGTTCAGATAAAAAAAAAAAAAAATCTTGAAGAATATGACTACGATAGAACAATATAAATACAATCAACAACGAAATTTCCATTACAAAATATAATGCAATAACATTATTCTTTAACCTAACATTATTTCTTTATATTTTGTATTGTGCCTGTTTTATCTTGTTGTCATTAGACAATTTCGATAACTTTTCTTCTTGAACATCATACATTTTACATGTGACCGTTTAGTTATATGTTAAATAATACGTGTCTTTTTAAAATAAAGATAATAATACAATTCATTTGATATATAATTCACGCGTTATGTCTTTAGCTGTATCATTAACAAGTTAGATTCTTGGTTAGATTCTTTTCAGATTCCTTTAGTTCTTTTTGATCCTCGTTTCAAAATTTTTATATGGAATAATATTTCATAACTTTTGCACAACACAACAAGTAATAATAATAATGGAAAAAAAGGTCAAATTAAATTCCGACGAAATTTATTATATACTCGAATATTTCGAGGATGATTATTCCACTTTATATAATTTTCTTACCGTAAATAAATTATTTTGTTCATTAGCCGTTTATTTCCTTTGGTCAAATCCCATCTCAAAAATAAACAAAGAAAGTATAAAAATCAAAATTATTTATATTTATCTTTCATATCTTAATGATTTTGAAAAAAATTTAATTTTCTCTTCTAATAATTTTAATTCTACTTTCACAAAAACACATAAATGTGATTTTGATTCAAAAATTTTATCCAAAATACCGAAAAAAACAATGTTTAATTATGCAAGTTATTTAGAATTTTATTCTAATAATCAAATTGATTCTTGGGTTTATTTTTGGTATTCGGGAACTCATGATAAATATCTAAATATCTCTCTTCAAAAATTTAAAATACAATCGATACAATCGGCTATTAAAATGATGTTGCTGAGAAGTTGTAAAAATATTAAACATCTGGATATTTTCGAATCCGAAATATATTCTAATTCTTTACCTTATCCATTCACAAAAAAAATATCTTCTTCTGGCATTGACAATACTAATAATATTGAAAATACCAATATCGAAAATACAAATAATATCGTCAATACAAATACGAATAATACAAATAACACAAATAATATAAATAATATTGATATCTATAAAATTTATAATATTAATAACATTTCACTCTCATTAAATTTGTCGAAATTGGATTTTTTGTTCTTTTCATCTAAAGATATTGAAACTACTAATAAATTTGTAATCAAACTTTCCAATCAATGTAGAAAAATTTTATATATGAACTTGTTAATTAGTGGAAAAATATTTCCTCCAGAATTACATGATTCTTTAACAAAATTAATTGATTCCCAAATAAAACTTGAAGAATTTGGATTACGTTTTCGTTATAGAAATCATCTTACACGACCCCACATTATAAATTTAGAATCACACGCCAACACTTTAAAAAAATTACAATTAATTGACATTGATTTCACGGGATTTTCATTTAATAATTTAAAAGTATTAAGAAATTTAGAAGTATTATCAATTCATTATTGTTTGGGTTTTTTTGAGGAGGAGAAAAGTTATCGATCATCCGAAAATATTTTTCCTAAATTACAAAAATTGGAATTAATTAAAAATCATAAAGCAATAGATCAAAAATTTATTTATATAAAATTAGATTCGTTAAAAACTTTAATATATATAAACAATCATGAAAACGAATTCATTAAAAGAGTTGTGACTATTATTAGTCATAATTGCACAAATCTAATTACATTATGTTGTTTAATAGTTGAAATCGAAATCACGTCAGAAATTAGTAAATTGCAACATCTTCAACAACTTCAATTGGGTGGTGAAACTTATTTCCCGGAAGATTTATTAATATTAGTAGAAAATTTACCGAAATCTTTAATAATTCTTAACTTATTAAATATTTATTCATATGATCATTTAAAATTTAACAATTTTATCAAAAAATGTAATGTTCACCTAGAGGTCTTAATATTACCGTTTGAAATTAAATTGAATCTTCTTATAGAATTAAAAAATTACATAAAGAAATTTAAATGTCTGAAAGATATAAAAATTACTAGAATCTACGAATCAGGTATTGACGATAAAGAGATGCTTGATTTATTTAATGAGGAAGGAATTAAATATACAACAAGAAATTTAAGAAGTGTTTTAGAATTAAAAGAGACATTTGAAAATTTTTTAAATTGAATTCTTATATAATTATAATTAAATTTTCTCATGCGCTACCTCCTAAAAAATAACAATTTACAATTCTTGTTCAAATATAAACAGAACCTTTACAATCTCCTAGTTTTCCTCTTTAAATTTTAAATCATTTAATGAACAAGATTATAAAATTTTAAAATACTAAAATCATTTAGGTTCTTGCTTATTCAATAATAAAATATATATCATTTTTAATGAATTTGAATTTTCCGTTAATTCAAATTCAAGGTATATTAACTGAGCTAAATAATTTATTATCTAGATAATTAATTTGTTCGCTACATATTTTAAATTCGATAAAATTTAATGGCATTAAGTGATTTAATCTCTTCAACTTTTCATTAGTCCACCAACCTGCGATATTTCTGATATATCCTATTACGCATATGTATTGATCCTAATACCGCTTCTGAAATTAATAAATACCATCCAACCTTTTTTTGAAACAAATTTCTTTTAAAATATAAAAAATATACCTTTTCACAAAAATTTAATAAGATTACTACATCCATATCTTTTTAAAAGTTATAATTTATATTGTTCTTTTTTTTTTTTTTTAATAAAAAAAAGGCCTGCAATTTGCAATGAATATTTTTACGTCCGTGATAAATTATTAATTATTTCTTCTGGTAGACTTCCTATATTAAATTTATTAATATATATTAAAGGACATAAAAAAATGCAATTATAACTTGCTATTTCATCAATTCTTGTGGTCTATTTTATATGTCTAAGAATAATCAATTAAAAATATTTAAAATTTGAAAGAACTTTGAATACATATTTTAAAATGATTAATATTCAATCTTTTTCGAAACTTGCGGCCTTTACACCATCTCATTTAATTATTAATTAAAAACCAATATCAATATGATCTCTTATAACCCTGATTTTCTAGATAATGAACAAAATAAATTTACTAATTAAAGTTTTAATACAGTTCTTTGGGTTAATTAAGAATCCATATCTTTTATATTAGATAACAAAAAATATGAATTTTTTTTTATTCTACGTTATAAAATATAAATATGAATACAACGCACTACCTCATCTACGAAAACCACTGCGTTCTTGCCACAGCAAGTAATGCTCGAACCTAATATCGTAATAATAAAAATAAGCATATAATCATTCAATATAAATATTCAATAAATGTTACAATAGATATATTTTATCATTTCTTCACCATAGCCAACTCATTTTGTTTAAATGTTGATAATAATAATAATTACCTCGCTTTACATTTACCAACTAATGTTTTTCCAATCCCTGGCCTAAAAAGTAATAAACCTAATTAATAAGAAAAAAAAAATTAGAATATCGAAGATTAATTCCACTTCCATGTTTCTTATCTTTACGTTTTAAATAACGGAGATATAAAATTTTTTTTTCTATAAAGTTGACTTGTTTATCCTGACACCTTTTTATAAGTTCCTTGTTTAATATATAGATTATTTAGAATATTGTCATATGCTGAAACTTCAAGAATCTTTGAACGATTTGATGCAGAATCAATAATAAGTAATGTGAAAGTAAAAAAAAAAGAAATTATAAAAATAATAATTTACGAATTAATGTTTTGCAGTAACAAAGGAGCCGGGCTTGTCTGTCTGTTCGTCGTGTCATTATAAATTACATTCATTGGATCTTTTTTACAACGTTATTATAAGCGCCCTATTATCTATGCCAAAGAAATTTTTGAAGTTTTGAATTTTTTGAATAATTATAATATAAAAATATAATATTATTAGTAGTTAATTAATATTAGTGAATTTGTCGTATCTTGTTTATTTAGTTCGATAGAGCTGATCTCTTTATTATTATTATTATTATTATTATGAAGGTTCATTATTTGTTATTTGTCGGTAACGAATTCCGTCAACATTACATCTCCCAAGAAATATAAATTATAATTATAATCAAATTCTTTCATATTATCGCTTATACCTTCAATTCTTTTTTCCATTTTTCTGTGCATTCTTTATGAGTTTTTTTATATATTTTTCTCTAAACAAAGTCACATCATTCCCATCATTTCCATTGTCCACCTTCTTCTTTAGATCCAACTCCACATTGATCGTATCTTTATTCATAAGATGTTCTGTGTCAAAAATTAGAATGTTTCATTGACTAATGCCATTAAAGCTTTACGATAATTTATAGCTACATATCTCATATTTGTTGTTGTTGCTCAGGTGAAGAAACCGAAGAGTTTAAAGTAAATAACGTGTCTTAGAAAGATATTGAAATAAAACTTTTTTCGATCTTTTTGTTATTGATCCATAAATTTTAAATAAATTTTAAGATATAAAAATATGTGAAAGAGAAATTATTAAACATATCACAAAGCTTCATTTAAATTTATCAATGTGATAAATACTGATTTTAATGTCACGCGTATTTTTAACTATTAATACTACTCTATTTCTCTCACAATAATTCGATGTTTTAAAAATTATTCTGTTTATAATAAGTGAATCTAATGAATTCGACTTATATATAATACAAATATCAAGTCTGAATTGTTTTTCACGTTTTTCATGTGATCAATGATTTATAACGATGAAGGATGTAAACATATTCAAATCTTATAAAAAAAATTGTTTAAACTTTTTGTTCCACTTTATCAAATCTTTTGCTTTAACAATTCAATTATCTTCGCTTTTAACATTCACTCTTTTTTTTTTTTGTAATTTCTTGCATTAACCAAGATGCCTAAATCGAAGGAACAGAGAATTAAACCTCATTTTAATTATATCAAACCTGAAACTCGATCTCAAACTAAAAAAAAACAACAACTTTATGAACAAATGAAAATACAGCAACAACTTTGTCATCAAATTGAACAACAACGTTATCAACAAAATCTACTTTATCAACAAAATTTACTTTATCAACAAAATCAACAAAATCAACAAACACTACTTTATCAATATCAGCAACAACAACAATTATTCTATCAACAAAATCAAAATCAACAACAATTATTTTATCATCAAAGTCAGCAACAACAACAGCATAATCAAAATCGACATAAAAAACAACTTCCACCTCGCCCTTTCAGTTCTTACACTGATGATGAAATCTTACTTAAAGTGATTCTCAACTTTTATGAAGATGACATGACTTCAATTAAAAAAATTATTCCTTGGTTAAATGAAAATGAATTAAATGATTTGATCAACGACATTCAACCACGAGACATTTCCGAATTAAAATTTCCACCACATCCAAATATAAATTCGATACCACCAGATGATAAAACTCCAGAATATAAAGATTATTTATTAAAAGCACAATGGAGTTTAAAAGAAATAAAAATCTATAAAGGAATGACGGATAATGGAAAAAAAGGATTAAAAAATTGGAGAAAGTTGAAACAAATGTTATATCAAAAAGATTTAGGAGATATTGTTAAACATTTTGGAACCTTGGATAAAATGAAAGATTAAAAAAAAAATGTCATTATATTATATTATTATATTATTCAAGAGATTATTTTTTTATACACTTTGATATCATTCTTATATCATATTTCTTATCTTATTATCAAATTGTGAAATTTTCATTTGTGAAGATTGAAGATTGTCACGTGATGTGAGAAGATTCTTCGTTAAAAATTCAAAAAAAAAAAAATAATTAATGAAAAAAGTACAAAACAACTTTTTAATAAAATAATAAATTTCCATGTGGGTTAGCTTTGTGTATCTAATCTGAATTAAAGTGTACACATGTCTAAATGTAAAAAGTATTTCCCGGGAATTTTTCTTCGGATTTAAAAAAAAAAAAAATGTATATCCGATTTTATTACTCTAAATGTCATTAAAGAAATTCTCTACTTGGTAAAATATAAAAGTGATTTTCCGTAGTTATCAAACAACAAATGTATCATCATCGTAACGTAACCCAGATCCGTGATAAAAATGTTTTCAAATCTATTCTAAGAATGAACTTCATTGATTTAGGTAAATTTGGACGAGAAAGACGTAACAGTCCTTTTACTCTTTATTTCCTCATTATTCTAATCATTTTCGGATATTAAATTATAGTCTAGCCATTATTTATTGTCAATAATAAATAATGATAAGTAAATAATAAATAATGATAAGTAAATAGTAAATAATGATAATTATTAAATAATAATAATAAGTAAACAGAATGTAAATCTTATTTTTTTTTATTTCGTTCTTTTTTTTTTTTTTTTAACGCGTATATACAAGAAATAATTTTCAGCCCCAAATATATTTTTTATATCTCTGCCACATTTTCATGATTATTGATTAAGTAAAAGTTCGGCGTTTCTTTCTGGGAGATGTTATTAGATATTTTTGAAATTGGGAAACTGGTTTATTTAATCGATAAAATACAAAAACAGATAATTATAAATGATATTGACTACACAGCCTTCTTCATTTAGGGAATGCAAGGTGATTTTTGTATGAATGAATGAACGAATGAAAAAAAAAGAATAAGAGAATAAAAAAAATAATAAAACTAACATTCAAAATAGTTAGATGAATAATTTTATCGATATATTTATTACTGGAACCAATCAAGTGTTAATAATAATAATTTAAACTTTAGTTACTTTAAAACTGTAAACATTATTATTATTAAAAATACACCATAAAAGGTTGACTGAAAAAAGCAATAAATACAATAGATAAAAGAATTTTAAAATTTCGAAGTGACACAAAGATATTATTGTAAAATAAGATCAAAAGAATATTTTGCGTGGCTGCTGCATGGAATCTCACAACATATTAAACTTTGACTTGATAACAACAACAACAACACCAACAACAACAACAAAAACAACAAAAATAACAAAACAAACCATAAAAAAAAATTTCCAACAACAATAGAAAGTTCACAATAGACGAGTTACAGTATTTTTTAAAAAAACAAGTTATTTTCATGCATTTCATGTCGTTATAAATTACAATTATTATTATTTATTGTTATTTTTTTTATTATTTGTTTTTTATATTATTTATTTATTATACGTAATTTTCATATATTTTATTATTATTATGTATTTACTTACAATCCATTTTATAAACAGGTTTAATGAGTTTAAACTTTAAAAGATTTAACCTTATAATCTTATTTAGAAATTCCGAATTATAAGATGCATTACATTCTTCTCCAAAGAAATCCTTCGAAGATATTCTTTCTTTCAAGATATTCTTTTAATGATGATGATGATGATAAACAAACTTTAAAAAGAATTATTTCATAATGCAATATGAGAGTACAAAATATGATATATATACACACATAAATATATATACATATATACATAGAAATATAAAATTCTTTGTTAAATAATTAATTACGGTTAGTATTCTTAGTTCAATTTTATTTTATTTTAATGATTTCTAAGTGAATTACAAATATATACAAATATAAGCGAAATATAAATTATTTATGTATTTAATTATATTATGTAAACTATGTAAACAATAAATGCAAAAACCCCTTGTTAAAGAAAAAAAATGAAAAACGAAAAACGAAAAAAATAAAATAAAATAAAAAATAATAACAACATATATGTATTATATTACTTTTTTTTGATTATTTTGAAGAAATTATGATTTGCGTAAAAATTGCATAAATATAAAAAGTTATTTTTAACAAAAAATAAATAAATTATTTATTGAAATTACCTAATTGAGTTTTTATTGTAATTAATGATATTTATATATATATATTTTAATAATGGGAAGAAAAGACTAAGGGAACGATTGATGGAATTTCCGAAAAATATCCAAGATCTTGTATTTAAAAAATGTTACATATTTTAAAAAAAAAACGATAATAATAACAATAATAAAATGACAAGACATTTGTTTCAAAAAAAAAACAAATAATAAAAAAAATACATAATATCGCATAATATCGCATAATCATATAATATCATATAATATAAGAATATCATAGAAACAAGAAATTCAAAAAAAAAAAAATTTGAATGAATTTTGTTGGACATTAGAATTCAAAGAAGAAATTACGTCCTAAGAATCTCAGGTCACAAAAAATAAATAAAATTAACACAACGCCAAATATTAAAAGATATTACAAGATATTGCTAAGATATTTTTGTTGTTTTTACCCCAGAATTTTATATTATGTTTACGTATCTCGCATATGACGAAACTTATCTATCTAATTTTTACTATTATTAGCATAAATTTACTAATTAAATATTAATTTTAATTGTCATGAGTTTCATAAGTTAAAAGGTCAAACTATATATGGAAATGCAAATATGCGTAAATATGTATGTGTAAATATAATGCATACGTAAAATATATTGATAGATATTATAAAAGAATTTCGAAAAAAAAAATCCATTAAACAAATAAGACAATTAAAATATAAATAATAATAATAATAATAATATATAAATATAAATAATAATAATAATAATAATAATAATAATAATAATAATAATGTAATACGTTTTGTTTTTTTGTTACGTAATAATTTTGCGTCTTTTACTCATAAATATCGAAAGTATAATCTGAATTTAATTCTTTAATGGTCTTATATTTTTCTTTCCCCACATAATTAAATGAAGATTAAATCCTTAATGAAGAAGGAATAATAAATAATTAAAAAATTGTAATAATTGTAAACCAATAATAATAATTTATGTAAAAATAATATAATGATATCATAAACTAATATATCGTACAATGGTAAATTCGTGTTACAGTTTCCTTTGAACACGTGGTATTAAATGGCATGATATATAAATAATTAAAATGTAAGAATAAATACAATCTAAAATGTGGGGGAGAAAAAGAGGAGAAGAAGAGAGAAAGAGAAAGAGCGGGGGAGAAGAAATATGATTAATAATGAATAATTCTAAAAAAAACAATAATAATAATAAGTCCGTTAAATACCGTTAAAAAAATTTTTTTTTCTGAGATTTTCTAATAACAAAGGAATTATTATTTTTTGAATTAAATTTTAAGAATTTATTATTATTAATTAATTAATTAATTTAATGAAGGGACTTCTTTATCAATAAATTAATAAATTAAATTATATTATAAATATTTATTATTAAAATTAATTTAGTGATGAAATGTGCTACATTAAAATAACATTTCGTACCATCATTATTTATTATCGTTATCATATCATTATTTTCCTATTAGTCATTATTAAAATAGCCATTATTGAAATAGCCATTATTGAAATAGCCATTATTATTAATTTTCTTCAATGATATTAAGGAGTTTTTTTTTTGAAAAAGCAAGAAAGAGAAGATGAAACAAAATAGATCCTTAAACCCTTACATCATTATCATCACACTTCACTATACTTTATATTCTATATTTCGCTATACTTTTATACTCTATATACTTTATTATATTCTATTATACTCTATATACTTTATTATATTCTATTATACTTTATACTATTCTATATATTTATTGTTCGATAATTATGCGTCATTTATTTAGATAAGATAGATAATAGACTCAATGGCAATGATAATAATAAGCTATAAAATATATAAAATAAAAATAAAATAAACTCAACAATAACAACAAAATATGAGCTATAAACGTATACGTAAATAAATATGAAAATAGAAAAAAAAAAAATAGAAGAAATAAAAAAATAGAATTAAAGAAATTAACGTTTAAGGAGTCTTTAACTTGATTGATTGGTTCACCTCTATTATTTTTTATTTCCAAATTAATATGTTATTTTTTTTTCTTAAAGATAATCAAAAGAACATGCAACACATACATTCTCTTCTATCATTTTTCTATAAAAAATAAATAATTATAATTATTATCCGAACTTTTAATTTAATAAAAAAGAATTCTATTTTTGAACGTAATACCTAATCTATAAAAAAATTATAGTTATCGGATAAAAAAAACTTAAAATCACCTGAATAATCACTACAAGAAATAATATAATATAAATATAAATAAAAAAGAATTGAAGTCACATCCTAAATAAACAAAATAAAAATAAAAATAAAAATAATAATAAAAAATAAAAATAATAAAAATAACAATAAAAATAATAATAAAATAATTATTCAAAGAAAAATAAAGTAAATAAACTATTATAAATAGAATGTAACAGTTTAAATGTAACTGAATGTATGAAAATAAAATAAATGTAATAAATGTACGTGTCATATCATGCACTTCATGTACGTAGTATTTTGACTTGGTAGCAAATCAAAGCATTTCTTTGATTCTGATTGTAAAGAGCTTTGAATAGAAAATCCTTGATATTTTATTTCTTTATTTATTCTATTTGTTTGCCGAGAAAATAAAAATAAAAAAAAATAAAAAATAAAGAGTAAAAAATAAAAAATAAAAAATTAAGAATAAAAAAATAAAAATAAGAAATAAGAAATAAAAAATAAAATAAAAATAAAATAAAAATAAAATAAAAATAAAAAAAGGAATAAAATAAAAAGAAAGAGAAAGAGAAATAAACCAAAATAAACTAAAAGGAAAGCTTAGTATTAGATATACCGTTATACGAAACTATTAATAATGTTAACGAATTTTTATTAATTTTTTTTTTAAAAAAAAAAAAATAAAAAAAATTATTCGGTATAACGTAACAAAGATTTTGTTTCAACATAAAACGAATTGTTAAAAAAAAATTATTCAGTATAACGTAATGTTCATTAACCAAGAATTTTGTTTCAATATAAACGATATTGTTTAATTAAATTATTCGTTATAACACAAGATTTTGTTTCAGCATAAACGAATTTTTTGAAATTGTTCGTCGAACACAAAATTCTCATGTTCGTTCTACTTAATTTTTATTTTTATTTTTTTTTTTGACAATATGTAAAAATATAATAAAGTTAATCAACAACAACGAAATCATCACCATCGTGATATTATTACAACTATTTTAATGTTATTAATGCTACTAATATTATTGTAACAATGCAACACCTGCACTATGCAATAATAAAATACAGACATAAGAATTAATCAAAAAATAATTCTCGCTGGTTTAATTTATTATTGGTTTATGTAAAAAATAAAAGGGAGAATAAATAAATAAATGAATAAATGAATGAGTAAACAATAGTAAATAAAAATAAGTAATAATAAATAAATAAAAATTGTAAAAAAAAAAAAAAAATTAATTACATGAACAATTGTATAATTTTGTACGATTATTTGAAAAAAAAAAAAATCGAATATTTTGATTTGATTGTATGGTTTCAATTGAAAATTATATAATAAAAAAATAATTATAAGCGAGAATTATGATAAACCAAGCTAACTTTAATAATAATTTTAATTTCAATTTCAATAATAATTATGCGTTCTTATTAGAATTCTTTTATTTCGGATGCTTTCTATTTTCTAATATTTGATAATAATTTTTATGACAAATTATTAATGAAAAATTATTATTGACTAAATTATTATTATAACTAAAATTATTATTATGATGATTTACTAATTAGTATAAGGGATTATATAATAATACGATAAGGTTCCTTCTCGGGGAGAATGACGATGACGCAAGATTATTTATATTTACATGATATTTAATTTTTAAATAATTTTTAAATATATAATTTTATTTTTAATTTATTTTAATTTCCCCGTATGTACAAATTTAATATCGCGGATTACCAAGGACTAACATCACGGATTAACAAGAACTAACAGGATTAACATTGGACTAACAGGACTGACAGGATTCACATTTCTGAACTAACATGACTCACAAGACTCACATCGCGGACGAACGGGACCAACTTCGGTGTAAAAATTCTCCCCTGGAATTTTCTTTAATAATAAATGATCGTAGGATGGTTTAATATGTTAATAATAGATAATTAAAATTATAATAGATATAACATAAATAAAGAAAAAAAAAACGACAGTAATTGGTGTTATTTTATGTTCTAAAATTAAACATATAATAATTGCTAATTTAGAAATAAGTAATCAAGATGTATTATATTTTTATATTCATCACAACCACAACTAAAAATGCTGTACATTCGATAAATATAATGATTCCCAGCATAACAACAAACAAAACAAAACAAAAAAAAAATAATAATAAATAAAAATTAAAAAATATATAACAAGTGTGAACACAAAATAAATACAGAAATAGGTCATAAGAAAACGTAATTACTTGTCATTGTTAACAAAGTGGTCTGATGTATTTTTATATTATTGATACTGTATATATTTATATTATTCATACTATATGTGTGTGTTGTTGTTGATAGAGAAATCGAAAGGTTTTAATTCTAATTATAATTCATAATATTTATAATGTTGTGTTGATAGAGAAATCGAAAGGTTTTAATTCTAATGTTTATAGTTTAATCTTTTTTTTTCATTTTTTTTGTTATAAGAATTTTTTTTAATATTTTATAATATTTATATGTTATTTTATTTTTTATTTTTTTTTTTTTGATAAATTATAACGGAAAAATCTTATCTTTATTATTATCATCAAATTATTTATTTTTAAATCGTTGTCGCCTCTTGCTCCCAGTACTTTCTTATTTATTTACCTACTTATCTATTTACTCTTACTGCGTTCTTTATATACCCCAAACATTTTTAAAAATTGATAAAATTCCGATTGGTACATTATAACCGTGTGATGAAAAGTTTGAATTAATTAATTAAACTATAAATTTTGGAATACTATTTTTATATTCACCTAAAAGAAATTTAGAAAACAATTAAAAAACGTTAAAATAATAATATTAATAATAATTATAATAATTATCAATAATTAATGATTATTATTATTATTATTATTTGTTTATTATTATTTACTGCTCTATTTACTTTTAATATACTCAATACTCTATTTACTTTAATATGTACTTGTTTATTATTGATTATTATTATACATTATATATTTTAAAATATTTATACATTACAATTATAATTCATTTTATATATATTACAATTATGTATATTAGTTTGGTATAACATATAAAATTATTATGCTAATTACAATAAGTCAAATAATTTGTATAATTCGTATAAATAGGAGCAATCCAGAACCAACCGTTTTTCTTTTCAAAAAAAAAGTGAAAATATTTTTTCTCTTCTCGACTTCATAATCATCTTCTATCATCAATATCGTCACTATCATTACTATCATCACTACCATCAACTACCGTCATTTAATTACCACTATTAGAATTTAAACATCAAGTGATTGAAACATTAATTAATTAATTTTTAATTTACCAATATTACTACTAGATTAAATATATATTTATTATATATATATATATATAAACATACACGTATATATCTATCTATAAATATAAGTATAATATCTAATACTTTTTTCTTAATTTTTCCAAAAAATCCATTTTTTTTAAGTAAAACAATAATAAAATAACAAACTAACAATAAAACAACGAAATAATAACTGAATAACTGAATAACAATAAAACAACGAAATAATAACTGAATAACTGAATAACAATAAAACAACGAAATAATAACTGAATAACAATAAAACAACGAAATAATAACAAAATAAATAACCAACAAAAATTAGTAATAACAATAAAAATGCAAAATACACCGGAAGAAACAAAATCTGGTTGGTTAACAAAACTTGGAGGTAATGCTTTAAGGAAAACATGGAAACGTCGCTGGTTCGAATTGAGGGGTAATTTCTTGTATTATTATCGACAAAAGGTAAATATTTTTTATATTCCATTTAATTGTATTCTATATTATATTTTATTAATATTTTATTATATTTATTAATTTAAAATGTTATCATTATTATTATTTTTATTATTATTATTATTATTATTATTATTTCTAGAATGATAAAAAACCATCAGGAGTAATTAATCTTTCCACTTATAATTCAATAAGCCAAGATTCAACAATTACTAAAAAATCACCTAATTGTATAAGAATCGAAAAAGTAATTAGAGAATCTGATTTAACTTATTGTGGCAAATCAAATAATAATTCTTGTCGTAAAAATATCGCATCATCTTCATCCTCTTCTTCTTCCTCCCCCTCTTCTACTCCATCTCCTCCTTCATCATCATCATCATCTTCCTCTTCTTCATTAATATTAAAAAAATCTTCTACAATTTTAGCATTTGCTGATACAGAAACAGAAATGCAAGAATGGATAAATATCTTAGAAAAACATTTAAGTGGTAGAAATATAGTTGATATAGTATTGGATAGATTAGAATTATCAGGAATTCATCATCGACAAGCTAGTTATGGTTCTTTAAGTTCATTTTATTCAAAGAATAGTAGTAGTTTTTGTTCTTCGGGTGGTTCAACTTCTGGTTCCGCTTTATCTTCTCGAAGACCTTCTCTGGAATCCTTAAGTTTAGATACACCTTCTTTGAATTCTAGAAAAAGTTCAATTGAATCAGTTCATCAAAGCAGTTTACATAATTCATACAATTCACACAATTCATATAATTCACACAATTCATATAATTCATATAATTCATATAATTCATATAATTCATATAATTCATACAATTCATATAATTCATTTAACAATTTGAATAAAAATTCACTTAACAAAAATTCGCATCATTCATATAGTTTCGATAATTCATCAAATTTAGGATTAGGTCAACCAATTTTACGTAAACCAGCTTCATCATCAGCATTATTTGATCGAAAAAGTAATTTAAGTAATAATATTAATGACAATAATGATGATGATAATAATGATAATAATAACAAGAACAACAACAACGATAATAACAACAACAACAACAACAACAACAACAATAATAATAATAGAGTAAATAATAGAGGAAATAATGGACATCTACGTAATTTATCATTAAATATTTCCAAAGATCAAATAAAAGGTAATTCTCTTAATGCACCATTAATTATGGTACATCGTGATTCTAAAGTCACTTCTTCACCTGATGAAGTTTATTTTCCAAATAACAACAACAACAATAATAACAATAGCAATAACAACAATAGCAACAACATCAATAATAACAGCTACAATAGTAGAAATGTAAATACTTTTCATAACTCACTTTCCGTTTTAAACAAGAAAATAGACTCATCGAGGATTAAAATCAATTCTTCACCTATGACTCCCGTAACACCATTATCTAATGTATTTCCGAGTCATTTGGCGTGAATGATTTTATTTTATTTTTTTTAAAAGAAAAAAAGAAGCAACAACTTGCATATACAAAAACAAAAACAAAAAAAAACAAAAAAAAAAAAACAAAAAACAAAAAACAAAAAATTATAAATACAAATATATATGGAGAAGAGAGAGAGATAAAATATAAATAGACATCATACAGTATAGATAATAAAAACTAAAGACATTTTAAATATAAATATATATATATATATAAATAAAATCAGAAATGGAATGATTAAAAGGTTATTTTTCTGGTTTATTATTATTATTGGTATATTAATATTATTTAGTATCATTTTATCATTTTAGTATCATTGGGTAGAAAATAATTTGTTATATATATATATACATAGGTATTTTAAAAAATTTATTGAGTTTATTTTGGAGTTTATTTTGTTAATTTAGTTTATTTAGTTTATTTGGTCCCATTTTATCCCTCCAATAGAATAATGCATATAATAGTTGTATAAAAGGTAGACGAATTTGACATTTGCCTATCTTTTCTTATCTTTTCTTATCTTTTCTTTATTAATCAATGGATAACACTACTACAAATACTACTAGTAATATTCTTGAATTTCTTCATATTTGTGAAAAATTAAAGGTGAATATAAAAAAGAATTTTTTTGATTATTTATAAAAATTAAAAATAATAATTATAAAATTAATTATTAAATTAATAATAATAAAATTAATAAAAATTAATAAAAAAAAAAAAAATTTTAAGAATTAAATTAATACATAATAAGAAATGATGGATAAATATATATTTCACAATTTTTTTGACAGAAAACAAAACGAACAGGATGGATATGTCATGATATTAAAAATCCTGAATCCATATCTGATCATATGCATCGTATGTCCATATTATCATTATTAGTTAAGGATTCATCATTAGATAGGAATAAGTATGTACAAATTTATATTATTATATATTTAAAAATATTTAATAATTAAGTTTTTTTTTAGATGCGTTAAAATGGCGGTTGTTCATGATTTGGCTGAAGCTTTGGTTGTATGTGCAATTTATTATTATTATTATTATTATTAATTATTATTTATTTTAATCTTAATCTTTCGATTGGATTTGATTTGATTTGATTTGACTTGACTTGATGATGAATAAAATAAATAATATTCTACATTTCATTTAGGGAGATATAACACCTTTTGAAGGAATAAGTAAAGAAGAAAAAAATCGTAGAGAATTTGTATTTATATTTCTTGATTTTTTGATTTATCTTTTTTTTTCAAATTTGATAATTCATTTATATGAATTATTTATTCATTATTTATTATTCATCACATTATTTCATCATTATTATATATTTTATTATTATTATTATATTATAGGAAGCAATGCGTCAAATGTGTATTAATTTACTTGAAAATTCTCCACAATCTCAAGAAATTTTTGCACTTTGGCAAGAATATGAAGATAATTCTACAAACGAAGCAAAATTCGTTAAAGATATTGATAAATTTGAAATGATTATTCAAGCTTATGAATATGAACTATGTAAGTACTTGGTTTGAAAAATAAAAATTTAATTTATCATTTATTTGTATATATTCGTGTATTTATTTGTATATTTTGTATTATAGCTGAAAATAAAGATCTTGAACAATTCTTTGAAATTACCAAAGGAAAATTTAATCATCCAGAAGTAAAATGTTGGGTTGAAGAATTATATTCAAAACGTAAAGTTTATAAGCAACAACAACGACAACAAATGAAATGAGATGAAAAAAGAAATTAGTTAAATTAAATAAATTAAGGAGTATTCTAATAAATGATAATAATAATATCTTAAATATCTAGTAATATCTAATTAATACAGAAAGAAGATATAATAAATTATTATTTCGATTTTTTTTTTTTTAATCAATGCTTTAATGAACTTTTAATGTTTAGGTCAAATTGTGACAATTAATTAATTAATAAAATCGTGTAACTTTTAAAAAATTTTGGTAAATCACCTGTTTTGCTATAAAAAGGCCAAATTTTTATAAATCATTCGATATAATCATTTAATAATGTCGAACAAAAAACAAGAAGAAAGACATCAAAGGTGAATGAAGATGTTCAAGAATCTACTTTTCTTTAGCTTTAACGTCAACTTCAATATTTAACTTTTAATATTTTATATATGCTATATATTCCTTCTATAGAATTCTTAGGGAATTATTAAAACAACCAGAGAATAAAAAATGTTTTGATTGTCCAACAAAGGTTTAAAAATTTTTAATGAAAAATTAATAAAAATGTCTTTATTAAATATTTTTATTCGGGATTGATGTCTCTTATAAAATTTGTTATTTATTTATTATTATTATTTTTTTTTTTGATAGGGACCTACTTATGTCAACTTATTAAATGATACATTCATTTGTGTAAAGTGTTCGGGTTTACAGTGAGTAATTAATTGATTCCTTATGATCTATTAATTCTTTGAAATTTAATCACAAATTCAATAATTCCGATAAATTCAATAATTTCGATAATTTTTAGCCGTGAACTTAATCATCGTGTCAAATCGATAACAGCTTCTGTTTTTACTCCTGCAGAGATCGAATCATTAAAAAATAGTGGAAATTCTGTAAGAACATACAGATATATTATTTTCTGAATATACAGTAGAACCTATCTATAAACATACGTGTATAAGTATAACCTGTCTTTAAGTATATAATTTTTCTGACCCAAGGTCACAAGAATTATATATAACATATATAAAGTCTCAACGTATACAAGCATAACCTAGGATTTTCTTGACTCGAGGGTATGCTTATAGACAGGTTCTACTGTATTTAAATAAAACTTTATTGAAGTAATAATTATTTACGATGTTCCTCTCTAGAAAGCTAAGCAAATATGGTTGGCGAAATATAAGCAGTCGGATTTTCCTGAACCTGACGCTGATGACATAGATGCTATTCGAAGTTTTATGCGTGTGAAATATATTCAAAAGAGATGGTTAGATGAATCCTTGTTACAAATTCAACCCTGGAAAAATCCCAACAATGAAAATTTAACGGTATGTTGAATATCAAGAATGTTATAATTCAATAAACGTATCTAATAACTTTTTTTTTTTTTATTATTATTTAAAAATGAATAGAACAAGGGTACTTTTTTAATCAATCTTAATCACAGATCAAGTAATTTCAGTGACAATTCTTCAAATAGTTCATCATTAAGTCGTCATTCTAGCTTGGCAGATGTTCGTTCAACAACCACAAGTGAAAGAAGGCAATCTTCAATCAGCGATATTTCATCAGATTATTCAATTAATATTAGTCCTCTTAAGGTAATAAAATATCTCAATTTTATTTTATATATATATATATTGTAATTTGCTATTTTGTTTATAATTATTCTATTTATTCTAATTCATTATCTTAATTAAGTCTGCTCCCGAGAACAATTCAAACAATTTTTCAAATGATTCTAATATCCTAGCATTACCAAAGCCAAATGTTAATCCTTTTAATATTAATTTATCCAATCAAATACCATCTAATACAAATTCCGAGTTTAACACTGTGAAAACAAATAATAAAAATAATACAAATAATACAAATGATCTGGATGATTTCTTTTCTTCATTAAGTATTTCATCGACACAAACATTACAACCTACACGACCTGTACAACAACAACAACTCCAGCAACAACAAATACCAAGAAATAATATATATCCATCATTAAATAACACATCTACTTCAATCACTCAACAGCATGTTCCAACAACATTTACTCATAATGCGCATAATAAACCCAATCAGGCTTTACCACCACAATTTAACCCTTTAACTTCAAAACCTCAACAATATCAAAATCCCACTCAAATTCAACAATTTTCTACTTCAATAAATTCTCCTCCTCAGTTTGGTCAACAGGGACAACCTATAACATATTCTAATCAATCCCAACAACCTCAACAATTTCAAAATGCGAGAAAACCAGATTTATTTACCGATATTTTTGAAAATGGTCAATTTACATCAAAGAATTTGCTAAATGTCATGCCAACAACGCACACCAACCTTAACACCAACTTTAACACCAACCTTAACACCAATCCTAACAATAATGTAAAACAATAATTCATTTTATTTATCTAATTAATTAATTGTTTGAAATTTATTAATCTTAGGAAAATTATTTTAAATTTATAGATGAATAATACACAACGTACGGTTAACGCTTCTAAACCTTTAAATCCTTTTGATCACGTTCATCAAGGTTCATTAAATTCTATTTCAAGTATTTCAAATATTTCAAGTGAAAAGAATTAATTTATTTTAACTAAAAAATTTTTTTCTAAATTCATAATTTATAAATTCAGATATTTCTTCAACAAAGATGGCTCCACAACCACCAAAACAAGTTTCCTCACCTGATCCTTATGAAGTTTTTAGAACCTTAAATTTAAATGATTCTGATATGTCTTTAAGTACGAATTTTTTTTTTCCTTTGTAAATTATTTCTTTTATTATTATTATTAGATAACTCATTAATTTAATTAATTTGATTAAAAATATTCAAATATTAAATTATAGCTTCATCTCGACCATCAACAACTAGTAGCCCTGCGTATTCTCTATCTCCTTCGTATCATTCTTCTCCAGTTTCACAAGTTTCACAGGCAAAACATTCGGCTTCTAATATAAATGACATTTTTGGAGATCTTACACCGTCAACAATAACGTCCACAGAAAAATTTCATAATTTATCTTCACAAAATTTGAATAATGATATCTTCAGTGATTTTCAATCAGCCCCAAATGCAAGTGAAACTCCTTATAATAATAATAATAATAATTCATTAAATATAGCAGTAAACCAACAAAAATCATTAAGTCAACCAGATTTCTTTACTTCTCAATTTTCCCATTTCTCCAGTAATGACGATTTTAATGATTTTTCAAAATTTGTACAAAAACCTTCTCGTTCTGAAAAATTTAATAATTCTTCTAGTGGAATTTTCTCTACTAATATTTCGTCACCTAATTTAACATCTCCTCAAAAGGATTTGTTTGAAAATTTCTCCAATTTACAATCTTCACAACCTAGATCCATTAATGATAGTGTTAATAATCTTAACAATCTTAATAATCGAAATAATAATCTTAACAATCAAAATGGAGGTAATAACTTCTTGAATAATAATAATAATAATAACAGTACAAGAAACAATATGTTACATTCAATGGATCCATTTAATTTAAATTCATTTTCACATGTTCCTACTACATCTTCACAATCTGCTAAAGGATTAGGTCACGAGAAAAAGATATCATTTGATTCTGCATTTAATGATTTAGATCCTTTAAAATGGTGATAAATTTAGGATGAAACATTCTTGTAACATTAAAAATTCATTTTCGATTATCACCTTTTGTACATTAATAAATGTAATTTTATATCATACGTTTTATGTAATTCAAATACCAAATTCGGGGGGAAGGGGACTTTTTTTTTTCTTTCTTTCTACTTTTTAGTTTACAAAATAAAATAAAAAAAGTAAAAGTTAAATACCAAAAAACAATAAAGAGACATTATCCGATTCACATGACATGTAAATGACATTATTATCATTTTTTTGTATAATAGTGCTTGAAAAGTATTAAATAAAATTCTCTGTTTTTCATGTTTATTTTTACATTACAATTTCACGTTTATGAATGTACATGCAAGATAATCATGGGTAAAACGTATTTATTGCGTTATTCACTAATTCGGAAATAATTTCATTGTTCCTAAAAATAGACTCTCACCAATTAGGTAAAAATGTACATTCTTGATGCCTCTGTGGCTTGATAAAAAAAAAGATCACCAATTTGGAAGAATTAAAAAAAAAAAAAATAAATTATGCATAAAAAAGAAAATTAATTTAATTAACTGGATAAAATGGACAACACGCAGTAAATAATTTAATTTGCATATACTGCGACATAATGTTACATTATGTTGCAAATATGGAAATTCATTGTTTTAATATTTTACATATTAATTAATTTCATTAAATTGATTGGAAATTGGAAATTCATATTGTAAATAGATTGACGTCATTTTAGTAATTCTTAGTAATTTTAGTATTTTAGACTTATTATAATATTCTTCTGGAGATTAATTGAATATATTTTATATACGTTTATCAAAGAATGATTATTAAAGAATAAATGACATTATCATATTTAATTGCTGATTAATCGAAATATCAAATATAGTAATAATACTTATAAAACTTTAAATTATTGGTCCATTTCTTTTATGGGAAACGGGAACGAAAAGAAATTAAGAATGGAGCCTCCATTCAAATCTTCTTTTTTGGACCAAAAGAAATAATGAAGAAGAATTGATAATCAAATTTTCCTTTTGATATTGTTTAAATTTGAACCAATATCCTTTGATTAAAAAAAATACAAAAAAATAAAATATTTTTTTTTTTGAAAATATCCAGAGAAATTCTGTCACGAATCAATTAATCAGATACAGTATGCATGACATTTTTTTTTGTAATTTCGCTTGAGAACGAATTATTCATTCTTATGATTCAAAATGAATCTTTTTCTGTTATTATATTTATTTTTTTTTGCACTTATCCAAATGTTTTAAGAACGAGTCAAACAAAGAGTAACCAAAAGACAAAGAAAGATTGTATTATTTGATGTTTGAAACTTTGTTGAAAAATTAATCCGTGATTTTTGTACATAAATTACCAGGTATTCAAGAAAATGCACAATTTGACCTAAAAAGTAAATAGATAACTTAAACTGATCACCAATGCAATTCACATTATGATATTATGCAATTTTAATTAATTAATTTTATTATGACTGTTTTAAGAGTTTTATAACTATTAATAGGATTAATTCTATAAAAGAAGAAAAAACTATGGAGAGATAATCCAAATAGAAAAAACTTAAAGAACAATTCTTTAATTTTTTTTTTTTTAGACGGGTTTTCTGTTGAACAGATTACAATTTTAATAATAAAAGAACAAATGTGATAGCTTGTGGATTTTATGATTCGTTCCCTTATTTTCATAGATTATGTAAAGAAAAAAAATAATGAATAATAAAAATAAGAATAAATTTTTATTTTTAATAATAATAAATTTTTATTTTTAATAATAAATTTTTATTTTGCTTTTTTTACGGGTCATTGTGAGTCACAAGTTCATTATTATGCATATCACAATTCATTCAACAAAAATAAAAACGGAAATTGATTATTTTTGTCATCTTCAGTGATTTAAAAAGACGTTTCCAACTCCGAATTAACACTTTTTTTTTTTTTTTTTTGAACGGTGAAAAACGGTTACCAAAATTTATTACTATGAAAAATTTTTAAAATATTTCATTCTTTTTTTTCTAGAAAAATATTATTTTTTTGCCAGACAGAAAACTTTATTGTAAAAAGAAAAATCTTCGGCATTATTTACAAAATTTATGAAACTCAACGTACATAAAAAGACAAATTACTTTGTATAAATTTAGATTAACACTAAACATGTGTATTTAAAACAATGCTTTTGTGAAAATTACTTTTTAAGAAATTGAGTAGACGTTCTAGATATTCTTTTGAAATGTTCTAAATAGCCACTTGTAACCAAATATGAAACCAATCAAGTGTGTGGCGACATTCTTTTTTTTCCAAAATGGACAATTTGCCACTGGATGACCTGAAATTGTATCAACATCTTTTTCTCTGCGCAGTAATGAAATAAATATAAATAAACCTAAAAATAAGACAGACTTACTTAAAAATTTCTTATTTTTTTTTTCCTTGCCAATAAATTCTTTCCAAATTCTATATTAAAAAATATATGCTATTTTGAAAAAGATCCAAAGTCTTCAAATTACGTCCTGCTTTATTATCACTTGACAAGTTTTAAACTTTAAAATTTTTTCTTGTTCTTTTTCGTTAAAGAAAATCGCTATCCAGTATTAATTATCGGCAATTTCTTTGGCTTTGAAAGCCGTGAAATACAATTTAATTTCCATTCTTGTTTTTATCTTCGTCGTTCACGAGCGTATCCATTGTTTTTATTGTATTCTTTGTTATTAGCGCATACACAGTACAAATTTTTATGAGGTTTATCCTTTTTATATAACACGTATTGACACATAAATAAAACTTTTTAAATAACAAAATGTCTTTATCAAAGTTACCAAATGTTCCCTCTGAAGCACCTCAAGTGAGTCGACGACCTCGGGGTAGAATTAATAAAAGAGCCTGCGAAAAATGTCGCCAATTAAAGATACGGTGTGATGGCGACGCACAAGAAGGTAGTGTCTGCAGCAATTGTGATAAAGGTAGTTGTGTCTACGACCAGTCTCCACGTAAAAATCGCCAGGTTGAGAAATTGAAGACTCAAGTCAACGATCTGGAATCAAATATAAAACAAATCTCAAATAATTTCGAAAATCAAAATTTCCAACTTGAAGTATTAAGAATGGAAAAAAAAATCTTGTCTCTATTGATTAATTGTCAAACTTATTTTTACGAAGCGCAATCAACTTTTAGCCAATTGGTGCAATGTATGGAAGAGAGCAGATGTCTATCCATTTTTTTACCTATAATAAGAGATTTACTTTTGTTAATATCAAACGAGAATCAAGGCATCATCATTAGCTGTTTGAAGATGATCGCTGAAAGTACTTTACGTTGTTGTGAACAAGATTCTTCATTAGGGAGCGAGTATCCCGAAGAATGGACAAAAGAAATATTAAATTTTGTAGCAAACAATAACCTTTCCGTATCTGTGACCAACAACGCCACAAATAATCTTTCTGTTGTTAGTAACACCACAAATAATCTCTCTGTTGTTAATAACAACACAAATAATCTCTCTGTTGTCAACAACACCACAAATAATCTCTCTGTTGTCAACAACACCACAAATAATCTCTCTGTTATCAACAACACCACAAATAACCTCTCTGTTGTCAATAACAGCACCAATACCCTTTCCATACCCACTACCAATAACGCTACCACAAATCTAAGAATGATTTCAAGAGCAGTTTCTCCGTCAGATTCAATGTCTACTATTGTTTCATCATCAAGTCCAATAGTTGATGGTGATGGATTAGAAATTAATAATATTAATATGCTTGAATTTCATAATGGTCAGGTTCCATTACCATCATCTTCCTTCATACAACATACCGATCCTTATTATCCAATCGATAATATCAACAATGATTCTAATCATTCAAATAATTCAAATAATTCTTCTGAAAATGTCGACTATGCTTCTTTTCTTAATTTAGATCCAAATAGTGGTAGTTGGCAGTTATAAATTAAAAAAAAAAAATTACAAACTCAAAGCATTTTAACTACTCTCTTCATTACATTATGTTTAAAACAAAAGATTTTTTTTAATACTATAGTAATAAGACAAATTATCGTTAGAAAAAAGGATTTAGGATATTTAATAATTTTCTTCGTTATATTTCGATTAAAATTTCTTCCATTATATAATATAATACGTATTTAATTAGGGATTTTTTAGGTGGATTTGATATATTTTTATCTTTTTTGATAAAAATGGACAATGGTACAATGGATTATTATATATATTCTTTCTTGGCATTTTTTTCTTTCATTATTATTATTTTTTCGCATAATTTATCGGCATTTTCTCTATTCTATCGTTATTAGTGAATATATTTTATCCCCACTAAATTATTATTTTTTTTTTCGTTTATTTCGCATGTTTTTTGTATATATTTACGTATATTTTTCGACTTTCAAATTTTGGCAAACAAATGTTTTTCGTATTCGTCATTTGGCAAGTTAAATTTTAATAAAAAAGTTATTGACGCGCTTATACTATTTGTACCAATTTTTGCTTTTTTTTTGTTAAAACAATGATTTAAATTCAACATTTAAGAACAGCAAATCGTATAAAAAATTTGGTTTGACGATTAAAAATTCAAAATTCAAAATTCCAAACCTGGATAATATTTATAGCAGAAATCTTCTTCAATACGAGAAATTGACCTTATAAAAATTCTGGAAGAAATAATACAACTGGTTCTCATGAAAAGAAATGAAATAGGTAAATTTTATATTATTTAAAATTTTTTGAAACTATTAATAAAATAAAGAAATTTTTGAATATGAAATGGACTCATCTCAAACTACCGAATAATTAACTTCCTCTTTTGGGGCAGAAGTTTCTGATTTAAATAACTTCATTTGGTAGGGTAGCATAAGCTAAAGATGATATCTTTTATTATTTTTACAAGTTTTTAATTTTAAATGAAATTTATTTCAAACTTTTGTGTAACAATGAAGTGTCGAAATTTCCATTCAAGATATTTAATTTGTAAATTTCATTTATAAATAAAAGTGCGTAATTATTAAAAATAACAATAATAAAATAATAAGCAAATACCAAAAACATTACACTTAAAGCTAAGAATAATTTATATCTACTGAAAAGTTTTAGACCTTATAATTAAGGTAACTATTTATTTAAATTTAAATATTTAAAAATTTAATAATGAAGTTTAAACAATTATTATTTCTCAACTCTTATTTAATATATTCAAAGTTTGAAAAATAAATATACTTTATTTCTATCTTTAAGTTTACTTAGTATCATTTTTGATATTTTATTAATAAAAATAAAATTTACTATATTATAACATTCATAAATTACTTCTTCTTTTTATTTTTTAATTATTTAAGTTACTAACAATTATTTCTGATTTTTATTTTTTAATTATTTAAATTTCTAACTTTCCAAATGATAACATGATTATTTTAGAAGATCATAAACAAGATTTAAAACCTAACTATAAAGTAAAGAATAATATAGATATTTTCCAATTTTCTGAACCCTATCTTTTTTGAAAATTGCTTTATTTTCATTTTTAAGGTACCAGTTACAAGAAAGAATACTTTATTATTTAATTTCCTTATGTATCCAATTAAAAATAATAAAAGTTATGCTATTCAACTATTAATCAATATTATTTGTATTGTAAATAGATTCTATAACTGAAATTGTAATATCTGTTCTATTATAATTTACAGTGACTATATTATATTTTGAATTATTTGATAATGTCTACAATTTTTTTACAGCAATAGTTTCAAATTTTCTTCTTAAATATTTTCAAAAAAATGAAATTTATTTGTTATGTAACTGTTCTATTATAATTTACAGTGACTATATTATATTTTGAATTATTTGATAATGTCTACAATTTTTTTACAACAATAGTTTCAAATTTTCTTCCCTAAATATTTTCAAAAAAATGAAATTTATTTGTTATGTAATATATAATTAAAATAATAAATTTTTGATCAATATGAACAGATCTAAGATCAACTATATTATTAATTAATGGGATATTATATGTTAAATCATCAATACTTGATATATATATCTTTTTTTAGAAGATACTGTTTTCAACTCAGGAATCATCAGTTTTTTTTTAAATCTAAATAGATAAAATTATATCTTTTTAAAATATTTCTTTTAAGAAAATATTTATCAAATTAAACAGTATCTACATTTTGAATGTAATAATATCTATTGTAATTCAGTGATTCACTTTTAGATCAGATTTGTTATTTAGTGTCATTATTACTACTGCTTACTGTGTTTAGCAATATAAAGTAAAAATTATTACAAATGATTAACAATCTGCCTCATTTTATAATACAATATAATTTTAATGATAACATGTATCTTGTCAATATCTTGTAATAATATTATTTAGATTTTCTGTTATTAACTTATTTAAAATTTCTAAAAGGTAGTTACAATCATTTTCTTCTGACTGTATGTCACTGTGTCATGGAAAACTCTAGAAGTAACAATCTTATCGAGTGATTTATTTCATAAAAAATCTTTTGAGGAACATTGTAGAAAGTGGTTATAATCTACCTAGATTATAAAAATTTGTGTTACCTACCCATTGGTTTCTAATTGTCGCGGGGTGTAACAAAAGTGATAAAGCAAAAAAAAAAAACCAAGGATTGAATTCAATTTTCAATTTCTCTCTAAACTGCTGTACAAAGTTGACATTAAAAAAAAAAAAAAAAAAAACTCTCATACGTTTTTACTTTTACTAATATTTGACAATAAAAAAAAATGGTTCACCATCGCCCAAAAGCGTTAACTCCATCTGCGGCTAGAACCGCTGAACTTATGGAAGCTCGTGCGAATTTTCGTACAACTTTTGAAGAAAGTCTTGGCTGTAAGTTTTAACTTAAAATTTTCATTAAATTATTTTATTTTATTTATTGAATATTTTGAATATATATATATATATATTTTCTGTTTCACCTAGGGTTCAATTCCGTAAAGCTAGAAGAAGGAGTTTATTTTCAAGCTCCGGATAACATTTCCGCGGCGGATTCTTTATATCAAAAATTTCAAAATGTATTAAAAGAGATTATTGATTCGGAACCTGAATTGGCAGCAACAGTAAAATCGGGGGAAAAAGAGTTAGAAGTTTTGGAGGATCATCAGAAGGTGTTATGTAATTTTAAAATTTTTCCTCAAAGAATTAAGGATAACCAGAAATGAAATATGAATTTAATTTATTTATTATATTTCTAACATCTTTATATATAATATTTTATAGGTTAAAGATCTTCTCGGGCCTCCACCCGAAATAAAATATGATGTTTTAGAGTCATCTTGAAATAAACAATTATTTTACCTTTCATTCATTATTAAAAATCATTGTGTGATTTATTCAAGTAATATGAAAGCACAATGATCTTAATTTAAATTTAATTTAATTAATCACAAATTTAAATTTCATTTACACCTGTAAAAATTAGAAAATTAGTTACCTATCTTGTCTATTTTTCTTCTTTTGATCTGTGATCAGTAATATTTTGCAACAATTTGATACTTATACAATCTTATACACTCTTATACATTCTCATTTAACTTCTAAAATAAATTATTTTTTTTTATTAAATTAAATAAAGTTTTTTCTAATTGATCTAAAAATAAAAATAAAAGATTATAATAAAAAATATCATCCTGTGATATTTTCTTCAATTTTATAATTTAATAATTTTTAGACACATGACATATATGACTAAGTCTTGTCATATGACATATTATATTAAAAATTCCTATTAGACTATTATAATTATTATAATTATGTATATTAACTGTTATTTTAACTGTATAGGCAAAATATAATATATTATTTTAATTAAAAAACTGTACAAATTTTTTAAGGAGCGCGAATGTTTGTCTGAATAAGACAATTTTAATTCTAATAAAGATTCAAAATCTAAAAAAATTGAATTTTTCAAAAAAAATTTTTCATTGTTCATTCTCTGGACACATTTTTCTAGGTATTTCGATTAATAATAATTAATCACAAAAACCGAACTTGTCAATATATATAATAATTTATTGTCATAATTTAGCTCTTCCAAGAATTGCATCTCTCAACGGTTCTAATCGAAATTTGATCTCTTTCATCGCTTTTGTTACAGGTTCCCACTGTTCGTATTGTTTTCTTAATTTATTAATTTCATGTTTAAATTTATGATTTTCTGTGACTCCTTTATCTTCTAAAATTCCACGCATTGCCCAGGGTAGATAGTATGGATTATTTTTTTGTTGTGCTTGAAACCTTTGAAGACTTAGATTACGTCTATTCAATTGTGATGTTTCAAAGAGATATCTTACTGCCAGTCTAAATCCCCCAAAAAAATATAATATATATAAATATAAATATAAAAATTAAAAATAAAATTAAATAAATTTTCAATATATAAATTTCAAGTACTCACGTATAAACATCAATTTCCGTGTATAGGGCTGAATGACCTTCTCCAGTCATCGAACCTGCAATCACTTCACTTAATTGGACCAATAAGCCGTGATCCAATATACCGACGTTCCGTAATCGTATAGCAAATACAATTAAATTTGTTAAAAAATCATTTTCTTGATATAATGGTCCATCAATGTAAATTGCACGCATAATTGATGGATGATTAACTCCTGTAAATATTCCAGAATATAACTAAAAAAAAAAAATAATAAAATTGAAATTATTATATAAGCAAATTATATTTAATAAAATATTAAATTATATTAATTATATTGATTAAATTAAATTAATTCTTACTGGCACCACTTGATCATCCATAGATGCGACGTATACTATTTTCACCCCATTTTGAATTACTGTATCAAGTGCTTTCCTATATTTTTTGGAGACTTCACTCTCAGAATCCATAAATTCAAATAACTCTCTGGCTGCATCTGAATCGGGACTTCGTCCAGTTCCAACAAAGAATTTTAGAATCAAATGATCTTTTAGATAAGGAAAAGGGCCATGTGATATACCTGCCATTGCCAACATACATATACGTTGCCTTTTTACATTTATGAGAGATTCTTTAATTAATCGAGAAATTAAAATTGTGCTAACGGGTGTTCCTTGAGAGTGCGTTGCAACAAATATAACATCTGCAGAAAATAATGCCTCACACCAACTTTTATTCTTCATTAAATTACTATGCAATAATTCCTCTCGAGTATCTATTGTGCCTTCCCCTTCAAGTGGTATACATGTGATCGCATCACTTGAAAGTGAAATATTATGTTGAGAAAGATATCCCAACAAAGCTTTAGCCATCATATCACAAAATTTAGGTGATGTACCTGTTGGTTCACCAACGACGGCTCTCAAAAATCTCGCAGGAAACCATCCGTGTACACCAATAATTGCAATACGTCTTACATCGACAGTAGATCGAGTCATTTCATCGAGCCATTTAGGGAAAGTGCCTTCTATACTCTTATCTGGTGGAAAGAGATAAGAATTTATAGCGTGAAGGACCTGTTGAACTGGTGAATTGGGAAGATTCCGTGGCCTGCTTTTTATGAATTCATCAAAGATCGGCAATACAACGTTAACTGGTACAGGTTTTGATATTGGCAAAGTAAATGATGTCGGCGGTGATTCTATAACGGGCTGTTTTTTTTCCTCTACAGTAATTACTTTCGTTTGAATTATCGTATTAGTTAAACTCTCATTGTTTGAAGTAGATGAAGTGGAAGGATTTTGTTTTCCATCAGTAATCATTTTAACTTCTGATACCCTTTCTATTTTGGCATTTTGCGAATTACTTGGTGGTCCGTTCGTAAAGAAATACAACCACGATGACCTATTATCACCAAGTGATTGAACTAATGGATTTGGTTGACGCTTGCTTTTTGAACGAGGAGAATTCGGTGGGGAATTTTCTGATTTTGTTGAATTTTTTGTTGAATTTTTTGTTGAATCTTTTGTTGAATCCTTTGTTGAATCTTTTGTTGAATCTTTTGTTGAATCTTTTGTTGAATGTGGTGGTGATATTTTACCTTTTGAGGAAGTAAATGATGATGTTCCATCTTTTGAGGAAGTGGATGATGATGATGATGGCGAGGAAGATAACGAAGGTGATGATAGTAAAGAAGTGTTTGAATTTGTTGACGTAGTCTCATTAGCATTCTTGTTGTTTTCACCGTCAGGATTTTCTAACAGATTACTTGTTGAAGATGACCATGTGTTAAACAATGACCATCGCCTTATTTCCGATGATGGTTTCCTTGTAACAGATTTTACAGTCTTAGACTTTTGTTTTTCTCCATCTGATATTGGTGATGATATATTATTATTATTATTATTATTATTATTATTATTATTATTATTATTATTATTATTATTATTATTATTATTATTATTATTTAAATCACCGTTGACAATTTCTTCATTTGATTTTGCAACATTCTCAATATTTGTAATTTTTTTAATTTCTTTCATTTCTGGGTTTTGTATTGCATCAGTTTTAACCACCTCACGTGTAACGATATTGTGATTACTATTGTTATTACCACCACCAAACATCCACCAAGAATTCCGGTTTGAAGATGAATTTGAAGATAGAGAAGAATGAGATGATGATAAAGTATCCAATTCCGGACCAAATCTATTTGAATTTATTGTAGTCATAGAAGAAACCGAGGACTTCTTTTTAATTCTCTCTCTTGAACTTGATCGTACCATTTCTACCGATTGATGTAATTGTTTATTTTCGCACCCTGTTTCTTTGATGGGAGATAAACCATGACCTTTTTTGTTGTTATAAGTTGGAGTATTGGGTCTTGAAATATGATTAACCTTTTGTTTATCTTCAACAATTCCATTTATAGAGGTATCAGCAAGATGAGTATTAACAGGCGGAGTACGACCGTTCGACGACCACCAACTCCAAGAGGAGGAAGATTTGTTTTTTGGTTCTTCGTATACTCTAATATAACCGCTATTTTGATTTTTTGGTATTGGTATTGCGTTAGAAGTCGGACTATTATTTTGAAGTTCTTCTACTAAAGTTGAAGAGGTTGAGCAAGCCTCCGAAATATCAGAAGCCGCTTCACTTTTGACACTCACTGAGCCAGGTTGTTCGATTGTGGAAGTGTTATCTTTTGAAGATACGAAAATATTTTTTGTTGAGATATTTTTATTGGAGAAGGTTGAAGTTTGTGGTTGTTGATGTTGTTGTTGTTGTTGTTTAATAGTTTCAGAATCAATATCTTTCGACTTTTTAGTAGTGTCAAAATCACCTTCAGAGTTGAAAGATTCATAGGAGTCAGTTGAAATGAAATTCCACCATGAAGAACGAGACATAATTTTTGAAAGAAAAAAATAATAAAATTAGGGAAAACCCGATGATGAATGAGCAAATAAATAATTATAAGATTTTTGGTGGAAAGAAGGAAGAAGAAAGAAGAAAGAAGAAGAAAGAAGAAAGAAGGAATGAGATTCGATTAAATTTTCTTTTTTTTAAAATGATGTTTATTTACATTTATTAAAAAGTATTGGCAGTTTATTTATTGACTACAGTAAAAATCATATTTATATTAAAAAAAAAAAAGTCACTGCAGTAAAGTTTATAGATATTACAATATTTACAACATTTTACAATATTTACAGTATTATAAGTATTATAATGATTACATATTATTGTAATAATTATTTATTTTTAATATTATTTATTTATTTATTTAGACAAGGCAGCGGAAAATAAAATAAAGCATCACGTTGGTAAGTCATCATATTCATTATTTGATTCTTTGCATGTATGGTTTTAAAATTAAAAAAAGCTTACAATCAATTTATTGGCCAATTACCTAAAATAAGTAAGATTTTTTGGGGAACGAGATTTTTTTTTTGGGGGAATAAATATCATATGAGTATTTTCAATAGGAGTGTGAATTACACATTGGAATACAATATAAATAACACTAATTATGGGAAAGATTAAAATAATATGATGAGAATTTCAACTCTCTAAATAAAGAAGTTGGTTTGCACTATCTGACATAATTTTATAATTTTATAATTTTATAGTTTAGCAATTAACTGGCGAGAAACAACTTTTGAAAGAATAAGAAAAAAATAATAATAGATTTACAATTATAATTTCCGCAAACAAAAATATATTTTATAATATAATATATTTTATTTTATACAATATTTTATATTTTTAATATTGTATTATTTCTTAACCTATCAAAATATCATAAATATAATAAAATACCTTCCTCATAAAACTATTCGTTCATCCCGTTCACCTCAGTCATAATTACACAAATCGAATTTTCTCCCTATCCGCAGTGATTGAATCGAAAAAAACCAATTCAATTCAATCTAGTCCTCATTCTATATATTCTATATGTTGCGCAAAAATGTGATTCTTGGCTTTTTACATTTTAAATTTGGAACTTTGGTAAAAAAAAAAAAAAAAAATTCGAATCGCTTTGGAAAAAAAGAATGAGGCAACCAGGTGAATTTCATGGCTTACGTGAAATGATAGTAGTACTACAACACTACAACTTCTTGATATTCATAATAAAAGGAGTAATTTTGACTAAACAAATAAACAAGGCTTTTCCAATTTCTACATTAATAGTTTTTTTTTTTTTTTTTTTTGCACGACATGATTTTAAATGTTTAGTGAGATTTTTTTTCTAGACTTGACATTTGTTTATTTCTACTGTTGTGAACCCTGAATTATTCGTTATTATTCATTTCGATTGCTTGCTTGCACCTGATAATCTTGACCCAAGTTGCGCAGTTTATCCGGTACACGGGAAGATTTTTATTGGGTACACACGATAGATCTTTCGTTTTGATTAAAAAAAGGGAAATACTTAAACATATTTAAACATATTTAAATATACTTAAACATACTTAAACATATTTAATCATATTTAAAGAATTTGCATTCTTTATTATGTCATAATAATAGAATAGCTAAGCATAAATAGAGTCCCGAGAGTACGGTGAAAATCATCCATTATTTAAAAAAAAAATATCTAAATTATTTTTTAATTAATTAATAATAAAATATTATAACAATAAAGCATTATCGTTATTGTTAGAATGATTAATGATACCCCTTTGCTGCATTAGTATGGATGATCAAATTGTTCAGATGATAGGATGATTATGATAGGATGATGATAGGATGATGATGATAGGATGATGATAGGATGATGAGATGATTACGGGGGGATAAAACGCACGCGACGCGTCAACGAACTCTTTGATATTTAAAGATTAAGAAATCCGAAATGACGCGCAATATAGATATTTATAAAGATTTAATTCGAACTCTAAACCTAACGAAAGATGAAACTCGAATTAAAAAGAAAGCAGCTGAAATCTCAAATCAAATTGATTCAAAGATTGGAAATGTTACAGTTTTAAAGAATTGGTCGATTTGTAAACCTATTTATTCTATTCAAATTTCATGTGAAATGTAATGTCATTTTTTGAAAAGCTATGTTTTTTGTACGTTTAATGTTTAATTTGATAACTTATGTCAACTAAGAACGTTATTTAATGGTTTAATGGTAATAGATTACGCATTAAATTTGATCGGAAAAACTTCATTATGTTAGCAAATACCAAAGAACAAGATTATTATTCATCACTCTCATATATTAAAAAAATTCTTGGGATTTCTTCATCAATAACGTTCGATTCTTTAGCCTCGAGATTTGGATGCCCGAGAATTATTCCGTATGTGGAAAATATGCTAGAAATTTTCAAAAAAGAATGGTGTAAAGACTTAAGCGCAGCTGGTAAACGAGGAATAAATTGGAATGATGATATTTATAAAGTTGCAGTATTTTGGTGTTGCAGTAAAATTGTAGGGGTAAATATCATTTTATTATTATTTCAACTCTTTTATCTCTTTTATCTCTTTATCTCTTTTTATCTCTTTTATCTCTTTTATCTCTTATATTTTTTATCTCTTATGTAATTATTTATTTTAAAGGGGCAAGGTCGGATTAATCAAGAAGAATTAATTAGTTCACCAGATTTTTCTACATCTCATCTCGAATTTCAACGTACTACGAAATTTGTGGAAAAATATTGTAAATCATATATTAATGATCTTAAATCCAAAATCAAAAAAGGGGAACTTAATATTGTATTCATAAAGTCATATTCTTCAAAGCGAAAAAACATTGAAGAAGAAAATATCAAAATAAGTAAAAAAATAAGAGAAACATCCGATGATGAATCACCTAAAAGTACAAAGACTATTAATGGAATAAGGGTAAATATTATTCAATATTATTATTATTATTATTCCCAATATTATTATTATTTATATTATTATACAATATTATTATTAATATTTAATAATAATATTATCGTTATTATTATTCATTATTATTATTATTATTATTATTATTATTATTATTATTATTATTATTATTATTATTATTATTATTATTATTATT